TATCTCTACCACTTACACCCGACTGATTAATACCATCGGATCGATGTAGGTGAGAACATATTCCGAGCCTCCACTGCCAATACACCAAATTCTTGGTTCCGCCGAGTCGTAGATGCAAATAGCTGCTTGGACACAATGAACAGCATCAGGATAAGGCTCCTTGCCAGCCTCTCGCCCATGGTCCGCATGCGCCCTGCTTGGGCCCTGAATCCAAGTGCCGCGATGGTGACTACCAGTAGACGGCTGGTCCGACATCAAGCATTTGACGCTGGGTTTGACCCGGAAGAGCTAGCCGAAGCACGCAGGTGGCACAAGTCATTCCACCCAAGCACTCTTCCACAAGGCGACACCTCCTTTTCACGCTCCAGCGGGCCCGGAGGCCAGCATGTAAACAAGTTAGTCGTAGCCTTCACTTAGCTGCCGTCATGCCAGGTCTTATCCATCCAGATTGACACTTCCAATAGGACAGAAACAAAAGCAACAACTACATGGCCCATCTCGAAACTCGTCGCTCATCTTCCCAAGATCTTGCATGCCGAACTTCGACACTCAAAATACTATACCAGGGGCAATGACTCTATAACTATACAGGCACAGACCGAGCGCAGCAGAAGTGCCAATCAAGCAGAGAACCACCAGAAGCTATATGACGAACTCATAAATCTGTACGCGAAGACGGTCCCCGCAGAGTCGAGTCCCGACAAAGCACGTAAATATGAGGCACTGTATGTTTTCTCCAGCCTATCTGAACTATCTTTTACGTATTGTAGACCCATCCTGACACTGGAGTCACTTGCAGAAAGAAAACTGCAAGAGAGATTCGACTGAGGGAGAAAAAATTCCTCAGCTCCAAGAAACAGTCCAGGAAAGGTGGAGGGTCTGAGTACTAAACTATACTAAGTGTTAGGACGATTGTGTAGTGGTACATCGCATGATCCAAATGGACGGAAACCAAATATCTAAAAACACACCAAACCATCTGGCTGGATGATAAAATTTTATATCTTTTTGTGACCAAAGAGCCAGTGACCTCGAGGTGAGGTTGAGGATGAGACGCCTCTTGTCGGTTATCATTTCTGTTATCACCCCGACCCCGTACCTGACGTATGTGATCCGTGCATCGCCCTTGTCCCTGCCAGAGCCGCAGGACGCTTGACTGGAAGCGGTAAGGCTGGCAGCCAGAACGATCTTACCGCCCGGCAGAATTATCGGTGGGCATATTTTTTTTGGGCCCTTGATGGCCAGCCGTCTTGACTTGTCGGGTCGCCTGCCTGTTGTCTGCCCCGAGTCCGTCTTGAGTTGGAGGAACTTGGGTCTCTCTTGCTCCTCTTGACAAGTGTGACAGTCCGGATCTGCCACCAGTCTTCACCATGTCACAAAAAGTCATGTTAGTTCTTCGTCTTCTGTTATCAATGTTCATTGTGTCTCGGGGCTAACCAATTGCTTTCTTTTCGTACAGTGACTCGCGCATTCCTGCGCTCATTCGCAATGGCATGCAGGAGAAGAAGCGTAGCTTCTTCGTCGTCGTCGGCGACCACTCCAAGGAGGCCATTGTCCACCGTATGTCGACTCCCTCGTCCCGAGATCCTCTACCCTCGACCGCGACTGCCTTCCCCCGATAATTTACCTACCGGTGATGGCTGACGTCCAGCTTTCCAGTTTACTACATCCTCTCCAATGCGAACATGAAGCATAACAAGTCCGTCCTCTGGGCGTACAAGAGCAAGCTTCTCGGCTTCACAAGTCATCGCAAGAAGCGCGAAAACAAGATCAAGAAGGAAATCAAGCGTGGCGTTCGCGAGGCCAACTCCGAAGACCCTTTCGAACTCTTCATCTCCCTCAACGATATCCGATATGTCTACTACAAGGAAACCGAAAAGATTCTCGGTAACACCTACGGCATGTGCATTTTGCAAGATTTTGAGGCCATGACGCCCAATATCCTAGCCCGTACGATCGAAACTGTCGAAGGTGGCGGCTTGGTTATCCTGCTCTTGAAGGGCATGAACAGCTTGAAGCAGCTTTACACTCTTTCCATGGACGTACATTCGAGATACCGAACCGAAGCCCACGACGACGTTGTTGCGAGGTTCAACGAGCGCTTTATCCTTTCCCTCGGCAGCTGCGAGTCCTGCTTGGTTGTCGACGACGAGCTTAACGTTCTCCCCATTTCGGGCGGCAAGGCTGTCAAGGCGCTACCACGCCCTACCGACGACGAGGAGGTCAACCCGGCAAAGAAGGAGTTGGAGAAGATCAAGGAGTCGCTTGAGGATACTCAGCCCATCGGATCGCTCGTCCAGCTGGCCCGTACAACTGACCAGGCCAAAGCGCTGCTCACCTTCGTCGATGCTATTGCGGAGAAGACTCTGCGCAACACAGTTACGCTGACTGCGGCTCGTGGTCGTGGTAAATCCGCTGCGATGGGTGTCGCTATTGCGGCCGCCGTCGCTTACGGTTATAGCAACATTTTTATCACGTCTCCTTCGCCAGAAAACTTGAAAACATTGTTCGAGTTTGTCTTCAAGGGATTCGACGCTTTGGACTACAAGGACCATGCCGACTACTCCATCATCCAGTCGACGAACCCCGAGTTCAACAAGGCCATCGTTAGAGTCAACATCCACAGGAACCATCGCCAGACCATCCAGTACATCCGCCCCCAAGACGCCCATGTCCTTGGCCAGGCTGAACTGCTCGTCATCGATGAAGCTGCTGCTATCCCTCTGCCCCTCGTCAAGAAGCTCATGGGTCCTTATCTTGTTTTCATGGCCTCCACCATCAGTGGTTACGAGGGTACTGGCCGCTCACTCTCTCTCAAGCTTATCAAGCAGCTTAGGGAGCAGTCGAGGACTGGTGCCGGCGTTAAGGACGCCGTTGAGGTCGACAGGACAAGTGGCAAGGCGGCTAAGGACACAGAGACCGTTTTCACTGGTGGTCGGTCGCTCAAGGAGATCACTCTTTCTGAGCCCATCCGTTACGCCCAAGGAGATCCGGTTGAGAAGTGGTTGAACACTCTCCTCTGCCTGGACGCCACGCTGCCCAGGTCCAAGCTCAACACTCAGGGATGTCCCGATCCCTCTCAGTGCGAGCTGCTCCATGTCAACCGTGACACCCTCTTCTCCTTCCACCCTGTTTCCGAGAAATTCCTGCAGCAGATGGTTGCGCTCTATGTCGCCAGTCACTACAAGAACTCGCCCAACGATTTGCAGCTTATGAGTGATGCTCCGGCCCACGAGCTCTTCGTTCTTACTGCTCCTATCGTTGAGGGCAGGCTACCCGAGCCATTGTGTGTGATCCAAGTCTCTCTCGAGGGTAAGATTAGCAAGCAGAGCATCCTCAACAGCCTCAGCAGGGGCTCGCAACCTGCGGGTGATTTGATCCCCTGGCTTGTCAGCCAGCAGTTCCAGGACGATGAGTTCGCCTCACTTTCTGGTGCTCGTGTGGTCAGAATCGCTACCAATCCTGACTACGTGTCTATGGGCTACGGCTCGAGGGCGCTTCAGCTGCTTGTCGACTACTACGAGGGCAAGTTTGCCAACCTTTCCGAGGAAGCTGGCACTGTCGTACCTAAGAGTGCTCCCCGGGTGACGGACGCTGAACTTGCGAACGCCAGTCTCTTTGACGACATCAAGGTTCGCGACATGAACGAGCTCCCGCCCCTTTTCGCCAAGCTTGCCGAGCGTCGCCCTGAGCCCCTCGAGTATATCGGTGTCAGTTACGGTCTTACCCAACCGCTACACAAATTCTGGAAGCGCGCTTCCTTTGCGCCAGTATACTTGAGGCAAACTCCCAACGACTTGACCGGCGAGCACACTTGCGTCATGTTGCGCCCTCTTGGTGATGGCACTGACCCCAGCTGGCTGGGCGCTTTCGCCAACGACTTCCACCGCCGTTTCCTCTCTCTGCTGTCTTACAAGTTCCGCGAGTTCCCGGCCATCTTGGCGTTGACCATCGAGGAGTCTGCCAGTACCGGTGCCAAGCTGGACCCTTCCAACGAGCCTACACCGTTGGAGAAGGCGGAGTTGGACAAGCTCTTGACGCCCTTTGACCACAAGCGTCTTGAGAGTTATGCCAATGGCCTCCTCGATTACCATGTCGTTCTCGATCTTATCCCCAGCATTGCGCAGCTTTTCTTCGAGGGCCGTATTAGGTCAAACCTCCAGCTCAGCGGTCTCCAGCAGGCCATTCTGCTGGCCATCGGTCTCCAGCGCAAGGAGATCGATGCCATTGCTGGAGAGCTCACTCTCCCGTCCTCTCAGCTTCTGGCTATCTTCATCAAGATCATGCGCAAGATCAGCACGCACCTTGCGTCACTGGTTGAGGGTGCTATTGCCAAGGAGATGCCTCAACAGATCGGCGTCTCGGCCGAGAACGCCTCTGCCGCTCACGATGACGAGATTATTGAGAACAACTTCGTGCCCCTTGACCAGAACCTGGATGACGAGCTTGCCGAAGGTGGAGACCAGGCCATGAAGGCCATCAGGGCCAAGCAGAGAGAGCTCATTGACTCCCTTCCCCTGGATCAGTATGAGATCGAAGGAGGAGATGCTGAGTGGAAAGAGGCTGAGAAGCGGGTCGCCAAGGCTACCAAGGAAGGAAAGTCCAACCCGCTTGTCAGTGTCAAAACCAAGAAGCGCAAGGCCGAGCCCGTGTATGAAGAGGAGAAGTCCGAGAAGAGGGATAGGGGTGACAAGAAGGGAAAGAAGGTCAGACACGACAAGAGGAAGTGAAGACGGACTTTCTGCGAGTAGGTAATGTCTACGGCATGATTCCCACAGCTACCACGCGCCGTCCGCTATGCAACTGAGCTAGGATTCATGCTTTGTTTGTTTTTCGGAGCTTTTTTTTGGCATATGGTACAGCGATCTCGCAGCATCCTTTTGCCAGCTTGGGTTCCGTTCAAGTCTCCAGTACTGGTTATCTGGACGGTAGGAGCTGGTCATGAGGCTTGCGGGCGGTTGCAGCGATAGCTGGAGTCCTGTGGATGCATCATGATTGAGCTCATAGCTCCGGCCAAGGCCGATAGTTCATGTGAGGAACTCCGGATAACGGACGCGGTGGTGTTGCGGATATGATGTCTCCGCGCGGAACGGGAGCTTGTTGTTAAAAAAAAGTGGAGTAGTTGACCGGCCCCGACTCCGGACGGGACTGGCCGACGAGCTGGACTCCTGGATAAAGCGGGACGGTGCCAAGACACAGGAGATACCCACCATATAAGGAGAATGCGGGGCAGCTGAAATGGCCATACGGTGGCGGCTAACAGCAGACATTGAGACAATCTGGTAACAACAACACATTGCACAACTTTTGTAGATATAGCGAGGATTCTTTTATGATTATGAGCCACACTTGGTCAGATGCAATTCTTTGTCAAACAGCTTAAGACGACGGGTATATGTGAATCACGAGGACAAGGCAGCCAGACAAGGAACCCTATAGCACCCGTATCGATAAGTGAAAGGTACCTCCCCCGTCTCGGTCTAACTGAACCCTTCCCGTCCACAGATTCAGTCAGTCCCTTCGTATTGAGGGGTCTACCCCCCGCTAGGTATATCATCCTGACTGATCGGTTGGCTTACGGTGACAGAAACTACGAACGGACATTAATCTAGGGCGAGCAGCCTCTTCGTGTCACACCTCGAGCCTTGTATTGATTTGCCTGCTTGTCTCGAACCAAGTACGGTTAACCCACAGCAGCCCGACTGCTTCCTTTCCACCTACATACATCTCGCAGCAATAGATCGGTGACCGCATATAGAACGGACGCGGCTTCTCACTCTCGACTCAATCCGATAGTGCGGTGCCTCTAGCCATCCGCAGATTTGATAGATTCATTCGAATAACTACTACCTACTTCTTCGACGAGATTGCCCCTTCTTGCGACGGCCTAGTGTAGCAGCTGGACCCTAACGCCGAGCATTGATCGACCATCAACAAAGCCCTTTACATATTAGCGACCATGAGTGCCGCCAACGGTCGACAACCCGAAGTGCAGCCGTGTCGATACAAAGTCGGCAAGACTTTGGGCGCCGGTTCATACTCGGTCGTTAAGGAATGCGTACACATCGACACCGGTCGCTACTATGCGGCCAAGGTGATCAACAAGCGCCTGATGGCCGGCCGGGAACACATGGTACGCCGCCATTCCTTCCATCATCCAAAGCCATGTGCGATCCGTTACCTTATCCTAACCAGCAGACTACAGGTTCGCAATGAAATCGCCGTGCTCAAAAAGGTGTCCATGGGCCACCAGAACATCCTGACCCTGGTCGACTACTTCGAGACCATGAACAACCTCTACCTCGTCACCGACCTCGCCCTCGGCGGCGAGCTCTTCGATCGCATCTGCCGCAAAGGCTCCTACTACGAATCCGACGCCGCCGACCTCATCCGCGCCACCCTGTCCGCCGTCGCCTACCTGCACGACCACGGCATCGTCCACCGCGACCTCAAGCCTGAGAACCTCCTTTTCCGCACGCCCGAGGACAATGCCGACCTGCTGATCGCCGACTTTGGTCTCAGTCGGATCATGGATGAGGAGCAATTCCATGTCCTAACCACCACCTGCGGCACACCCGGCTACATGGCCCCAGAGATCTTTAAAAAGACCGGCCACGGCAAACCCGTCGACATCTGGGCCTTGGGAGTCATCACCTACTTCCTGCTGTGCGGCTACACCCCCTTCGACCGCGACTCGGACTTTGAGGAGATGCAGGCCATCCTCAATGCCGATTACTCCTTCACCCCACTCGAGTACTGGCGCGGCGTCTCGGACAACGCCAAGGACTTTATTCGCAGGTGCTTGACCATCGACCCGGCCAAGCGCATGACCGCCCACGAGGCGCTGCAGCATCCCTTCGTTGCTGGCTGGGCCCGCGGAACCGATGGTGCGGAGGCCGATAAGGGCGCTAACCTGCTGCCGACCGTCAAGAAAAACTTTAATGCGAGAAGGACGCTGCATGCGGCTATCGACACAGTACGTGCTATTAACAAGCTGCGTGAGGGCCAGTTCATGAACGGCGGAAGGAGCCGTGAGCCCGCGAAGAAAGCGGCAGCGGGTGCGGGTGCGGTGCCCCCAGCAGCAGGAGGTGGAGGAGAAGGCCCAGGAGTGGATGACGGATTGGCGGTAGCGCTCGGCTCAACGCTCGGGAAGGAGGCGAGCATGGTGTCAACGGCGAGCAGCAATGTCACCAAGGACAGCGGCTACGCGACGCAGCCGGAAGGGGAGGGAGGCTCTAGGGATGGGGACGATGTTCTTATGAAGGATGCGTCGGTGCCAGCGCCAACATCATCATCGCCAGCGCCGGTGCATGGGAATGCACAGACTGCACAGCATGCGGGAGTGCCAAGTATCCTACGGCCGGGCAGTATCGAGAATAAGGTTGTCGAGACTGGTAAAGGCTTGTGGAATGGGACTAGTGTTAAGCGATGATCACTTTCTGGAAGGTCTTTCGTTATTGACAAATGGGGGCTGGTTTTGTTCTATTGTTATAATCTTTTGAGTTCCTTTTTGTGATCAGCGGGTTCTGTGCTTATGAGTATGAATGTTTTTTCTCGGGATTTTATACCAAAGTGAATAACCGGCGGGCGTTTTGCTTTATGAATATCTGTTACTAGTTTGCTTCATGGACGGTGGATTTCCGTTGCTCGCTGATGATGACAACGATGATGAGATATGATGCCAAGGGCGATGGATCTGCCGGCGTGGCGAAAGAGACCGGTGGTTAATAGCGAGATAGCATCTGCTAGCAATCAGGAGGTTCATCTTGTTGTATGTACACTACTGGAAGTCATCAAAAACCTCCACAAGTACGGGTTCAACAGGTCATTGCTAAGTATCCAGGACCAAGGATCATTAGGTATGCAAGATGAGGTTTTACTCTCTTTCCAGCCTCTTACTTCTAGCTCTAGCTTCAATGATTCATGACGTGTTTGTTTGTCTTGGTTCTATCTATCCTTCTTTGACATGCTAATAATGGAAAGTTTGTTTCTCTTTCGTTTTCTCTTTGTGTAGGTAGTTGGGGGCGTCATTGTTTAAGGTTGTTGTTGAGTTTTCGCCTGCTCCCGAACATCTCAGGGGTATCTTGGCATCTGCTTGCGGCTCATGACGGGGCTCTCGCATGTTCGCATTTTGGAGTAAAACTTCACACGATACCTACCCAAAACTTTATCGGTTATGCTGCACTGCCCTTATATCTCCATAACCGTACGCGTACTCGGGGTTCGCAAGGGGAATACATCACTGTTTACCAAGGTCTAAGCCACAGACAGCACTTGTTGAACTGGGGACTTGACTTTCAAAGTTTGGTCAGCACTAGCCATCTTGGAAGTCTTGGGATACGCGGAAAGCGCATAAATATTTGTTTGATCCGTTGAGGCTGAGTGAGTGGCTTTCATTCATTTGGCAAGTTGCTACCTACCTATCAAACACAAATTCCAATTTCCTCAAAACTTTCCGCGTACACATTCACGAGGCGGAGTAAGGTTGTTGAAAGGTAAAGAAGTCAAATTAACTCGTCGTCGTCGTCGTCGCTGACTACACCCCAGCACATAGCACATACATACGTAGCCCATGCTTACAATAATCAACACGCATACACTACACTACAACTACACTACACTACACTACACTACACTACACTACACTACACTACACTACACTACACTACACTACACTACACTACACTACACTACACTACACTACACTACACTACACTACACTACACTACACTACATAATATCATCTGGAACATCTTGGCAAGGCATACAGGCAGGCAGGCATCGCCGTCCCCAGGCAAGGCAAGTGCATACACTACAACATGGTACACACACATCTCGAACCCCTGAAAATTGAATCGGGATTTGGAATGACTTTTTCTTCTTTTTTTCTTTTTTCCCCCATTTTATTAGGTACGCAGTAGGTATGCTACAGATCATCAGGTCCATCAACTACTTACACTAGGTACCTAACTTGTATTGTGAAATTTTCGGCGTTACCACCTCGACCTCACGGACACGGACAGCACGTTATGATCAAATCAATGCCGTGACCTGCAGGGATCCAGTCAGTAGTCAAAATACCAGCCACTCCTTTTCAAGCCTTGGGCCGCTTTTTAGTACAGGTGGGAGCTTCGAAGGTTTTTTTTTTTCTTTCTTATAGGTCAGGTCGGGCCCAATCCATCCATCCCTGATCTTTGCATTGATCCGTCAAAGTTTGGTATGTACGTGTACCTCTAGGGATATGTAACTATCGGGACGCTGCAGCTACGTACCGCTACGGGGATAGAGATTTTCTGTGTACGTAAGCGGGCCTTTTCGGTGAGTGTGGAGTGCTGCAGTGGTGTTTCTCGGAGCTACCTCTACGCTAGCGGAGCGGAACCACGTTTTTTTTTTTTTTTTTTTTTTCTTTGCAAGAGGTGGCTTCCATGCCCGTCGTCTTCAAGTGCAACAACATGTGTGTCGGTTCAGTTCCATCGCTGTCGGTCGTCGGCTGTTCAGTGCATTTACTTGTTGCATTTGCTGTTGCGGTGGTGTGGTGTCGTGTGGTGTCGTGTATGTATGTATGTAAATACCGGTATATGCACATACAGAAGCTCAGCAGGTAGGTAGCTGGAGTTACAGTAATGCAGTCTCCTTCCTACACGAAGTAATGGTGAGCTGTATGAGGTTGTAAAAAGTGGTGTAGATCCGCACATTGTTTGATTTGGCGGCGTTCATAATTGGAAAACAAAAGGAGAGAGGACAATGCCATGACCGCCGTTCAATCTTCCAACCTTCCAATCTCCAGTCTTTCGATTTCAATTTTCTAGAAACATTTTCAAACAGACACGGATATTCCCTACAGCTGAGCGCTCGGAAAATTGGTACCCAACTGCGGAGTTTAAAATCATCTATCATCATCAACAAAAGGTCACCCGTCACCTTGTGACCCGGTCGGTCCTCTTGATAACCCCGCCGCCCGCCGATTGTGCCCGCTACAGCACTAACCTAATCTATCATCATCAATGCCATATGGAACAAAAGGGCATGGGACAGGACACGGAAATAGAAACATGCAAACCCCAAAGGGAGATACAAAGAGGGTGAACCCCCGGCGAGGACGAGGTTCCCCCACGATAGCTACAGTGACAGGGAATGATGGGTGCGGAGATGCTTGTCCACCTGGAAAATCTAAAAGACAGGATAGGAAAGAGGTCAGAAGACAGAGGCAGGGAGGATGAAGCCTGTCAGTCCGTCCGTCTCAGCAGTCGCTCGCCCGCTCGCCGACCACCATCCACCGTCAGCCTGGCAGGCAGCAAGGCGTAACTACGACAGGGAAAGAGAACATCAAACTGATTGACCGACCGACCGATGGCGACGGTGATCGATCAGATATGGCTTCCATTGAACATGCGATTACATAGGGAACACTCCAGATTACAGACCTGATCAGGAAATCCGCAGGGTAGGTAGGTAGGTGGTGGAAGATGGGAGCAGACGCTACGGGTGACCGCCTTTCCTTGACACTAAACCCAAGTGGGAGTTTGGATGTGCTGTGAAACTGGTGCTTGTCAATGTTCATAAGCGCCCGGCAATGTTTGGGATGGCCTGGTCGGCTTTAACGTCACCCTGGATTTGGGGACTTGTGCGGGATGTGGGCGGGCGCCGGTTTATCCGTAGTACTTGGTTCATTGCAAAACATGAAAGACAGACAAAGGGAAGTTTTAAGGTGACCCGTGGCGGTCCCATTGTGTTGATTGTTACAAAAGGCCAACAAAAGGGGGTATGAAATCTTCTTACAATTGGGCATGCAATCGGCACCATCCCTTTAACTGCTCAAATGTATCATTTTTGCCAAGACCGGGGAAGACTTGCAGTACTTCGCGACTTTTTGACGCAGCCAAGCAGCAAGAGCTAGGGTATCCATACAAAGGATCGGCGATGACAAAAGTGTCCTTTTCGCTAATAAAATCCACGATTCTACATTATCTACTTAGATAGTTGGATAGAGGCATTGAATTACATTATAAATATAATTACTACTAGAATCCTTCTTGTTGTGTTGTGGTCTCGTCCTTTGAGAAATATTTTTTTGCGATTTTCGTTCAGTGTACGAGGAGGGTGATACTATTGGTTGATTTTGGCACTCCTTCTCCACATTTAATGCGATGTCAAAAAGGCTGCAAAAGCTGGCAAAATTGAGGTAACTGCATGGGCACGGATGTAAAGGTGGATAAAATAACGCCAGCCGATTGGCCACTTTCTGGTCTTGGCGAAAATGATACATTTGAGCAGTTAAAGGGATAGCACAAAACCCTTATTTTTTGTATCAATATCGAGACTTGTACGCTTCAGAGGTAAAATTCCTACATAAATGGTGCCATGACAAGAGCCCCTACTATATCAGCGATTACGGTTTCATTCCAGGATTCGAATACGAAAAGTTCAGCTGGGAAACACCCATCGAACAGAAGACGATCATGCGTTCTCGAATCGAACGGCACTCATATTGCAGCAGCTCAGAGTCCATCACGCCCACCACCGCGGTGCGCTGTCCCTTGCTCCATCACGGCGACCCACGCACCCACGCGTTTTGGCCCCCCCCAGGCATGGTTCTCGTACCTTTCATTGTTTCCCAACCTTGTGAACGGCGGATCTTCGGCATCAAAGTTTTCCGCGAACAAAAAATAAATGTGAAGTCCCTTTCCCTTGTCTTTTTGCAAAACGTCCGACCAATCACCAGTCCAGTGGAGCAATGGCGGACGGACCCGAGAATTACCCACGAAAATACCAACTGCCAAGCTTCCCGCATGAAAACCTCGACTTGTCCATTTCTCCAAAAGTTCCTTACGAGTAGCGCCCCAGGACCCAGAGACACCCAGAGACTCCACTCGTGCTACATATGTAAGCGCGGAAGGCTGCAAGTTGGCATGTAAGCAAATGCAGCTAACGATGCCCGCTCCTTCAGGATTGGTCGATTGGTTCGGGAGTTGCATGTTTGGTCAAGCGACTAAGAAAAGTCGGAGTTTTTGACAGCCTCATGCTGCATGCAGCTGGTGAAGTACGGTGTGCAACTAAAAGAAAGAGAAGAGATTTTTTGGTTCTTCAATAGCATCCGTCCAAGGTGAGAATGCAAGCTGAAATCCACGCAGTACATAGTACGTAAGTATGTACAATTGGACCGAGATCCGAGATTTCAGCCTTGATTCCGAATGAGCACCGGTCAAGTACATAATCGGAACCGGAGAACGGACAATGGAGCGGGGACCACGGACCACGGACCACGGACCACGGAGCACGGGGTTAACCGCCGACGGTGCAGCAGAGTAGGGAAAAAGCCTCCGTGTTTCAAGAGAAGGCGGCCAGGCAGGTGGCCCAACAAGAGGCCTGGAAATCCGCAATGTTATGCAGAAGAGCGGAATAATCAAAGAAAGACCAAAAGATTCCTTGAGAGGCCCCGACTAGAAACCCACGTGCGACGCAGGAACAAGAGAGATGAGTTGGTGGCTGTTGGATCTTGCTTTGATTCGCCGGTTTTGGTATTTCAACATTGGCCAGAAGGGCGAGCGAGTCGCGAGAGCTTTGGCCAAAACTGGAATATGGAAATCTGCCTCGCCGCTTGTTTCCAGATGCTTTCTAGTGTAGAGCGAGATGATCATCTAATAAATGATGGGTGAGGTGAGTATGAGGATTTTATCTCTTGTCTCGTGATGAGCGGTTACATCCATGTCCTCCCGTCTACGGATCGCCTTTGCATGAATTTTTGTTTCGATCTTCGTCTCGCATTGAAAAGGAACAAGACGGTTGGCAACAAACAAACAACACAAGAAGAAAAAAAGGAAGAAAAAAAGAAGAAGAAGAAACGCTCTGTCTTATTTCTTGTCGGAGTTTGAGTTTCCCCAGATTGGAGCCTTGGTAACGGACACAAAAGTCCAAGACATGCAGACGGTACCTACCGCCTTGGCCCTTTACAATACGCTGCTACCATTGTTGTTGAGGTTCCAAAGACACGCACGCAGTAAATTTCGGTGAGTTGACTAGGTATGGTAGGGACTGAACCAGCCATCCTGCCAAGGAGCAGGGACAGAAGGATAGGCGCCTCCGGTGATAGTGATGCGCGAGACGCCAAGTACCTCGAGGTAGTACGTTACAGCGCGAGGTGCACTTTTTGCGCTCGGCGTTGTTCGCGACAAGAGCTCGTCGCTGTCGGGGCCCAAGACCGGGCGCTGCGGTTGAAACCTGAAAACGGGAAATTAACGTGAACCAAGCACAAGGACCCCTTGCAGCCCATCCGACCCGGGACAGTCCACACCCTGCATCAACGACGACGACAACAGTCCGCGTACAAAGCGAAGAACGGTAGCCACAAACTGACGAGACTCCCGCAACCTAACAGTACCAGGTAGTATGTACTCGGTATCACACCTACCTAGGAACTGGCCGACCAGTGGGAGGGGGATGCGAGGGTGTTACGGTTGCGAAAGGTTGGAAAGGCTGGATGGCGCAAGCTCGCAGCTAGAGTCCTTGGTGCCGGATAGCACGGATCACCTGGTTTGGTCAATGTTACTTGTTTGTTGGACCCTTGTCTTGCCTTTGTGAAGTGTGGGAGAGATTCAAGAAGACCGTTGTTGTTTTCGTCGGCCTTGTCGTCGTCCTCGTCGCCTTGTTGGTTCAAGATGCGGGTGGCTTGGGACTTTTTTGATGATTCGCATGGATCTTTCGGACTCTTCTTCTTCCTTTCTCTCCTGCTGGTGGGATGCGCCACATTCATCGACATAAGTCTAATGACCCTGTCGGGACCTATCAGCGTCATCATTCGTTTCGCTGGACTGCCTTCCGTTACACAGCCGGGAGCGCAGCCAGTTCCCGCCGTCTGTCATTGGGGAAAGTTGGAGAAATGATATCAGATGCAGTGTTAGTATTGGTTTTTTTGGCACTGCTCGTCAGCATCAGCTTCATTTGTAGGAGTCATGATTATACTGCCTGGCAATCTTGATGGTGTTTGCAACTCAACCGATTACAGCCATGTCTTCCATGCTTTGAAATCGAGGAATGGAATCCAATGTACACTCGGTTAGATGCATGTTCTACAAGGCGAGCGTAGTCGGGCGACTGCGTGACTGCGTCCCTGATCCATCCAGCTTGGATGGCATGGGATCCTGTGGGTTCGGTGGGTGCGCTTGGCCAAACAGCGCCCGAGCAGCGCTGCCGAGTTCCTTCCATAGGGCTTGGCGTTATTTCACAGGGCCTGAGTGGGCGTCATAGCTACCGGGGCGGACCTTATGAATAACCCGTCGCCCACCTTCGACCGTCCCCGCCGTCGGCTGCCAGTCTCACACACCCACTCTTCCACTCCCTCCCCGGAAAACGCACCAAAAGGACGCAGCACCAGGGGCCCTTTTGCAGTGACTGCTGACCAGGACAAACCAGCCGCTGCCACACGACCACTTCCCTCGCTTCCTCTCACCCCCGCCTCCCCTACCTTACCTACTTCCCGTCTTTACTTATACACTACACTCCCTTGGTACACAATCCAAGGTCAAGGTTGCACAACCACCAAATACTCGTCCCAACCCCGATTTCCGCGATCCGGCCGATCCGTCACCTATAGCCAGCCCAGCCCTCTTTGTCTCCATTCAACTTGAAATCGAGGAGGAAAAAAAAGGCAGAAAGGAAGACTTCACTTTCCAGCCGACTACAACACACCCTAGTATCTATTAGCGACCTCGACCAAAACCTCGACCAGCCTGTCATGCGCATGCAGCGACAATAGATTCACCAGACTTCGATTCAATCGCTTCCTCCCCCCTCACCTCACGCCAATCGCTAGCGCCCAGTTTCGCTGGTGATTCCGCCATCCGCCGCCCAGAATGCAGGACTTCGAACCCATCCTCGCCCCGGCCAAGCCGAAGCAGAAGAAGCTTCCCTTCGGCTGGCCGCCAGCCCTCAAGCTCTCGACTCTCAACCCAGTACCTCAGCGCCGGCGGTTGCGTAGGAAATCCACAGCTTCGCAGGATAATGTTGCCGCCCTCAAGACCTCGTTCGACGTGTGGGAGAGCATAAAAACTCTGCAAACAAGGAAATGGAAGATCTACGACATCCAGCATGTTGTCTGTCTTGGCTTCATCCTCTTCTCGCTGTTCATCTTGCCCTCGGCACCCATCATCAAGACGGCCGTCCTGCTCGCTCTCGGCGGCCTGCTTCTGATGCCCATCACCCAGCAATTCTTCTTGCCCTCGCTTCCCATCTGGACGTACTTGCTGTACTTCTTTGCCAGCCGGTAAGTGGTGTTCCGGAGCTTCTTCTGCTGGCCCTTCGAAATACGAAAGCTAACCAACTCGCCCTTGCAGATTCATTGCCCCTGAGTACCGTCCTCACATCTGGGTCAAGGTCCTCCCTGCGCTCGAGAACGTTCTCTACGGAGCCAACTTGTCCAACATTCTCTCGGCCCACAGCCACCCTGTCCTCGATTTGCTCGCCTGGTTCCCTTATGGAATCGGCCACTTTGCGCTCCCGGCCATCTGCAGCGCTATCCTCTTCCTTTTTGCCGCGCCCGGCAGCACCCCCGTCTTTGCTCGGGCCTTCGGCTACATGTGCATGCTCGCCGTCACCATCCAGCTGATTTTCCCCTGCACGCCTCCATGGTACGAGAAGGCGCACGGCTTGGAGCCGGCTCACTACGGCATGGAGGGTTCCCCCGCCGGTCTGGCCCGCATCGACAAGCTCTTTGGCGTCGACATGTACACCACCAGCTTCACCACCGCGCCCTTGCCGTTCGGTGCCTTCCCCAGCTTGCACGGTGCCAACGCCGTCCTTGAGGCCCTGTTCATGCAGTACTACTTCCCCAAGTTCAAGTACTTCTTCATCTTCTATGTTGGCTGGATCTGGTGGGCCACCATGTACCTCAACCACCACTATGCCGTCGATCTCGTTGGTGGTGGTCTCATGGCTGCTATCGCCTACTACATCTCTCGCGTCAGGTGGCTTCCTCGCCCCCAGCTCGAGAAGCGCACCCGCTGGGAGTACGAGTATGTCGAGTTCGGTGACCGCCCCAAGACCTACGATGAGGAGTACGGCAGCGCCAGCGCCTACGGCCTTGGTCTTCTCGAGAGACGCACCGCCAGCGACAGCGACGAGTGGACCCTTGGCAGCAGCTCCAGCCTCGACTCCCTGAGCCGCGGCGACACCGTATGCGGCAGCAGCAGCAGCACTCCCGATATCCTAAGCCCCACCACGCCAAATGACGATTTCAAGCATGTCGTGCTTGGTTTGACGCCCCAGGGTGATATCTGGAACGGAGGCAGGCTTGCCCGCGAGAGCGAGCTGAGCGATGTTGTTGTCTTGAGCTGAATGAAGAAGCTTCAAACACACGTCCTAGCTTAGCACTCGTAGGCTAACCTCGTGGCTCCCGCTTATCATGGCACTCGTCACCTTCATCCGGATGTTGCTATGGGTGAGCCAGCGAGTTTTCGGAAGCCACCAAGCACACTACACCCGCTTCGACCCAACTCGCGCCTTTGCGGACGCATAGGGTCAAAGTCAGGGCAGTGCACGCCACGCTTCCGAATCCCTCCCGTTTCCATTTCCCCTCTTCACCGAATCTCACTCTCCACACGACAGAACGCGTAGTCTGTCGCTGTACGTTGTAATGACCCCCAAATTTTCGAGACTCTCGTTCAACCATACACACCCTTTTTACATAATCTTACTCTTATACCATTTTACGACATTGGCGTTTTTGTTGGGGCACTCACGGCGGGCAAACTATTTCAAGTTATTTTACACCCTTGGATTGTCTTTTTTCACAATCTTATGATCCACAGAGGCGCACGCGCAGATTAAAGCGGTTTTTTCTCATAAAGCGGTTTTAAAGCGTATTAGAACAACAAACCGGCGATACCCCACACCACATTTCTCTCGCTCATATATATATATATATATATATATATATACCACCAAGCATACAAAGGCTTTTGTTTTTTTTTCAGGGATACCGGCGGGCCATGGGCGGCAGACAGGCAGGAAGGCAGGCAGGGAGGCAAGGGAGAGGGCAATGGAAGGAAAGGCGGGCAGGGAAAAGAAAAAGAGATGATGACTACTTAACTTACTTGGCCATTTTAATAATTCGTTGACAAACGGACATGAGAAAGGGACAAAAGTCAATAATATCCATTAAAGCTTAATGGTATAGCTAGGCTCCGGGATGGGGAATGATGGATATAATACCAGATGTTTTGAGTGGAAACGTGGATGCGGAATGGAATGACAAATGATGAGAAAGAAAGAACAAAGTTTACTTAATGATATTGTGTGGCCTCTCCCTCACCTTGGTTGTTATTTTTTTGGGTTTTGTCCTCGACTGGGCAAAGATGAGAGAGACAGAGAGAGAGAGCGAGGGGGGAGAGGTTGTTGGATAATGGTCATGTTCATGAATGAATTAGTAACATTAATGGTCAGTGTCAGTCTGGTCCCTCAGTCAGCAAGGGCTGCATTAGGATATGGATATATATATTCAAGAAACCTTTTTTCATGATGGCATTCTTCTTCTTCAGCTTATTCTTCTACTTCAGAAGTTAGGAGTCAGGTGTACCTTAGAGAGGTAGGGAGAGAGAAAGAGAGACTATTCTGAGTGATAGAGAAGAGAAGACAAGACCTCTACAATGAAGGTGTAATATCCACTACCATATCATCATCTTCATAATTCTTCGCTCTCCACTGTGATTTTCCTATCTCTGAAGAATCGCATCAGAAGAGCAATGTTGTTGGATTAACCAAACCCCTTCACAACTTTTGGTGATATTCCATTACATACAACACTCTTTACGTGCGCGTATGGGGAAGAAAGAACTATTTTTTTTTCCTCCTTGGTTGTCGATCATCATTTAGATATAGTGTACTGTGTCCGTACATTCCGGTATCCGGGCATCCGGGGACCCCCCTCCCCCTTTTTTTCTTGGGTAATGAAAGTCTGTCGTTCAAGACGTCATTCTTTTGGACTCCATACTTTTGAGCAATGTAGTTTATGTAGGGCTGTTAGCGTGGATAAGTTAGTGTAGTGGGAGATGGGTGAATGACGAAAAAGGCCGATGAGTCGAAAAACAGAGAAATTGTAAAGGAGTTTCGCTCGGCTACGGAAAAGCGGAAAAAAAAAAGGGGCAGGGAGTGGGTGATGGGTGGGTTGGAAGGAAGCTCGGGGGTACGTTGTGTATGTATGTACGTGTGTTAGTCTATTTTCGCACTACACTACACACTTGAACGAGTTCATAGGTAACTACACTACAATACCAAAGGGCTATGAGCCGATCGATGCGAGAACGCTACAACAAAGACATGACATCCACAAACTAATTCGTACAATGACATTTCTAACATGTATGAAGAACGCATGACCATACCAAGGGAAGGAAGGCCCTCTGTCCTCCTTCCTCCCTAGTCCTCATTACTCCCGACTTTCATTCTTTTCTTATGCTTCATCCTTTTCTTCCACCTCCGCTGTCTCAGCCTACGTATATTTGCCCCGTTAACGAACTCCACAGAATCCTCATCGGAACTTAAGACAGTTTTTTGCATTTGCGACACCAAGTTTGTTTCGTACTCTTCTTCGAGTATGGACGACAATCCAGCATCTCCGACTAACACTGAGAAAAGTGAACGGGTGCCCAACGGCTGCGGAGCACGCAATGGCTTGGGCTGCTCCATAAGGGGAGGAAAGTTATTCGCCCTTTCCTCTTCTTCCTTACATCTAGCTGTCTAAGCATTCCGAGCATCCAAGTCCATTCTATCCACCGTCTCAGCCCACACCGTCGTGGGCTCGTCAGAGCTAACCGGAAGTCCCGCGAACTGACGGCGTGGGATGCTTACGAGGTCCTTGACGTTTTCTGCCCGTACGTAGGCCACGTAGTATGGCTCACCCCTGGTGTTCAGCTGCTCAAATACTTCCTCAGCCGGGTGGACAGACACTGTGGTGTCATTGTACTTGCGCCACACGTTCTCCTCAAAGTCGTAAATCCAGACCCAGTAGTGACCGGCGGCGGCCGTGGTTCCGGCATGGCAGACGACGGCGTGAAGCCGGTATACATACTGATGCATGCCATCAAACAGCTTCTCACGCTCGGCCAACAGCTGCCCCTTTTCCCAAGCCGCTTCAGCCTCAATGCTCGTGACGAAAGCCTTGATTTCACTTGGACTGAGATCGCCAAGCTCTTCTTGGTCAAGATTCGGCGCCTCAGGTTTGATGTCTGGCTGGAATGACTCAGGCCTGGGCAGGCTAGTATATTTCTCGACAGTGGCGTCCAGCTCGGGCGTCAAGAATGATGTGACATTGTGTCCTCTGAGCTCCTCAACGTCCTGATCACTTATGTGAATGTAGGACTCTAGAAGGCTGTCTGAGCTTCTCTCATTTTGCGCTACGAAGGGAATTGGCATGACAGACTCAGTCTCTTTCATCTTGTTGTCACGAGACATGAGCTCCTGGAGCCTGTTCCCAATATTCCAGCTTCTTTGACGGGCCTTGAATAGCGGCGAGTCGAGCTGTTCCGTGTGCATAAAACGATCGAGGTATAAGAGCTCTGGAATGATGACAGGATTGGCGTTTTTGTTGCGGCCATCTGACCTCGAAATGCAAATGTGGAAGTTGGGAGCCGGGTCCTTGATGGTCGTATAGGTTAGAAGCTCTGCACCCACGCTTTCCAGATCGAATGATCTGGACAAAGCATCGTACAACGATATCCGCTCATTTTTTCCGGGATAGGCAATCACCCAACGTTCAGATCTTGTGGAGCTGTTCCAAGTACTTTCACTAGTCTTTTTCCGGTTGTCGACAAGCGTCGAGAAAAAGGCTGCCTTGATCGGGTCTGGCCCTGACGTACTCGGATTTCTAAGCGATTCGACCTTGAAAGCTGCCCGAAGATGGTCTATTGCGTTGCCCATGACTTCGTCGACATCCATCTGGTCAGAGCCAACGTTAGGCTTGCCAAGCTCTTCGTCAAGTTCTGCAACCGTCAGTTTCAGGTCTCTGGGCCTGTCGTTTCCAGTATTGGCGGAATCGGCGACAGGGGTAGACGGAGCAGGTTCATCAGTCATGGTGATGTCGTCGCCTGTGCTTTCACCTTTACCGGCATTGCAGTCGACAACGATGAATGTCGGGTCGTCTTCAGTCTGGTTGACCAAGGTCTGGGAGCTCAGATTGCTATCCGTCTCTGAATGCTCTGGTACTGCGTCAACCGTAACCTTAGGTAGGTCGCCCGCGCCTGATCTGGGAGGCAATGGAGGAGCCTCGACCGTGGCCGGCTTGGACGCATTGTCAACAGGTCCATCTAAAGGCTCACTGCGTATTCTGTCTGGCCTGAGCAAAGCTGCATTGGCCAGACGCTGTCTGGGCCTCACGGAGCGGGTGCCGGCGCCCTGAATATCACGAAACAGGGAGCCCAATTCACGACAAACTTTGATGCACGTCAGCATGCGTTAATTTACAAACACAGTGTTCAGAGTGAAAACTCACATTCGGATCCGACATAAGCCCGGCCAGGGTCAAGTTCAGATGGATCTAGGCCATCTAGAAGAGCCCGCATAGCTTCCTGGGTTGGCTCCAAAGGTGTCTGGTCCGCATTCAAGACGAAGTTCCTCACGGCCGTGACCGAGTAGAAATACTGAAGAATGCTGTTGAGATAGCATGTGTTTCGGAGGTTGTCGAGGCCAACGGGTAGTGACATAAACTCGGTCGTATCCTCAAACTGGGGGCCTTGTTCCGCATTGGGTAGGAGGAAATCCGGAGCCCGGAGTTCTGCAAGAACCATATCAAATTCTGCCCAGCCGTTTTCGTCCGCCACGTTCTCCTTCCTCATGGCATCCGCGAGCGTTTCACAGGCTTTGATGACCAGTCTGCGATCAATGCCGTTCTTAACGGCCTCCCGTGCACCTGCAGCAGCAATTTCCAAGGACCAGCCAGGCTCGGATTCCAGAATTGAGCATGCCTCGTTGTGGTCCATCACTCCGTTGAACACCTCGTCAAGTATCTCCGAGTCGTCCCTGTCCTTGCCAATTTTGAGAAGGGCGATTCTGTGACTAGATAGCTGTCCTGGTGACTGCTCTCTGTAGGTTTTGTAAACGTTGATAAAATACCGAGCGTCTGCGTTTGTTTTCGGCTCAATATTGAAGTGCCTATACGCTTTGTCTACGTCTGAAAGAGGCCCCTGAGACTGAGGACCGCTGGGGGCGGCAGGACTCTCATCCAAACTAAAGACGTACATCTGAAACTCTTCACTCCTGTAGCCAGCCAGATTGGCAAGCGCAGTCTTGTAGGTGTCTCTGTTCGCCGGATCAACGTCCACCTGTTGGAGGAAGGCATACTTGAGCACCTCCTCATCCGACCTTTCGGATGCTCCCAAGATGCGAAAGTGCTGGGCCTCATCCGAGTTTCGCGCCGATCGGGTCTCGTGGCTGCGAAGCCAGTCCGATATCAGGACCCTGTCCAGCCGCTCGATCGCATTAACTGTTGCCCCCACGACGGGTAGGTCCGGCCTCGGAGGGTTCTCCGCTAGAAAACTTTGCACCTCGCTTCTAACGTTCTCGAGGAAAGCACGTTCTGAGCCCAGGGGTGTTCGGAAGGCTGAAATAGGAAGCCGAGGGGGTACCCAGAACTTGTCTCCGGTTGAGACATCCACTTCTTCCGTGAAGCCAAGATAAAGGAATATGTCGGCACATGCTGGGCCAAACTGGACTGAGAAGGTCCTGTTGCGGCTGGCGATGCGCTTCTGCGGAGCGCTCCAGTCATCCTCGAGAATGTTCTTGATATACATGTTGAGGGTCTGTAAAGGCGAATTGGCATAGTTCTCCTCCTTTTCTGGTGTTAGATCGCCGTAGCGTTCTGGCTCTTCCTTCTTGGCGATCGCCAAAGCGTTTCTTATCCTGTCCTTGTCCATGATCCGGTTGATCCAGGCTGTCTTCAAGTGTGGCCGCAAAACGTCGACAGAAACGGTCTGCCTGCAGAGCGAGCAGACGTGAGTAATGCGAGTGACACGGGGATAGAATTTCGAAGCCTCAAGTGGGGAGGTCGGCCTGTCTTCCATGGCACTAGCAACATAGTGGTGAGCTTGTGCGGTATGGAGTTGGCCGCATTCGTCTTCGGGAATGGTATATCTGACAACGAAGTGGTGACGGCAAAGCTTGCACATGCAGCTTACTACGAGGGGCGCGAGCTGGGCTCGACCGTCGTGGTCGATGCCATGGCTTTGCGAGCCGATGATGACCAGTTCGTGGAGCCGGCATGACGAAGTGTCCCGGCGTGAAGGGTCTCGCAAAGAATAGCAGTCAAAGACAGGATCGCCCTCACGCAGGACGCCCTGCAACAAGTCTTGAAGCCAGCGTGAAGCCAGACGACCTGCTTTAGGGGGAAGTGGCGGGGTAGGGGCCAAGTCCACTATGACAGAGTGTCAGTATCAGCGCAGAAGTAGGTTGGGAGGTAAAAGTAGGATGATCATGGTACTTTTGGGCTTTTAGAACAGCGTTATAACACCGTTTAATGCGATAACGCGGCTTCGTTCGTGTACAACCAGTGGCTGCCGGCGAGGGTTGAGGAAGGGATTCCTCTATGGCGGGGTGTGATGTGATGGTGTTGATGCCGGAGAGGATAGCAGGCTAGGTTGATGATGATGATGATGATGCAATCTAGTTGTGAATCAAACCGATAACTGGATGGTATTGCGTGTTGAGCACGCGGATAGTGGCCGGTGTTTCCAGTAATATCCTTGATGAAGAGGGGCAATCACAGATCGTTGGACGTTGGAGTGTCCTGCGGATGAGTGATGAAACGGCCCGGGTCCGATTGGGTAGGTATGGTGAGTTCACAGGCAGAGCACTGCAATGTGTTGGACTTCTTCGTTGCTTGTCAACGCGGTACGGATGAGGGCGGAGGGCGGAGGGGTGGACGCCTTGTGATGGGCCCTACAATATGATGGAGGTACCTTTTGGTTGGTGGTTCAACGCAAAGAATGACTTGAGACCGTGGGAGACCAAACACGGATGGCGCGCTTGATGACTGACCGTCGTCTACTTCACTGAAAACCACCTCTAAGCACTCCTTGTCTGCGTCAGTTCAGCCAACGGATTGTGACGGCAGGCGGCATTATCTTGAATAAGGACGGCGGGGGGAAGGTGTTGTCGGGATAAATAAAGGAGCTTACCAGTTGATGGAAAGAGCACTTGTACGGGCACATCTCTGAAGTCTCAACTGTGACGTGGGTGCCTCCAGACACTGCAGTGCAGGTACCTAGTGCAGTCCATCCAGTAAATTACAATACCGCTCTTGTGACAACAAATTCATCAAGTTCACACAAGCGTATACCATTTCAAGACGTCAAACTCTTCTAGGCAACAAGATACATGAGCTAAAACAAAACAACGTCTCTGTTTGTACATGACGTGAAGTTATGATGTGAGCTAGAGAAGACAAGAGAGCCATGGACGCCATGTGAACCAGAAGGCAGCGTATCTTGAGAGAAGCATACCTAGTACATATAGCATACCAGCAGTACGATATGTTGCTGGGACTGTCATGACCCCACCCTTCCATGAGCTGGGAGGGGAGCTAGAGCTGAAACGCACGGACCAGATTACTAGGTACCCGACTCACGTATTGAGCTGCAACAGCTGCGACGGGACGGGAGAGCTCAAATGCTAGGTCGTTGGGGCAAGCGCCATCGAACTGCGGCTCTGTCCACTGTAGCGCATCCCAGAAGTACCCTGACTGCTGCTGTGACTGCAGAGGCAATCAAATTGCAAGCTCACAACGAAAGGACTCCCCCGTCGAGTCTGGACATCACGTTTAAACCCACCACGGGCAATCAAGGCCACGCCGACGACATCTCCAAGCCCACCACCACTCTCCCTCGACCACAACCGTCCACCGTCAAGATGGCGCCTCAAGGGGACGACACCGTTTTTCAGCCCAAGGACGCCATCAAGTCCGGCGTCAGTGGCGCCCTGTTCAGTGGTGGAGCCGGTCTCTTGATGGCTTCCCTCCGCACTTCCATGAAGAAGAACAACGTCGGCAGCATGCACGTCTTTACCCACGGCGGAGGCACTATCATCAGCTTTAGTACGACATGGTATCCCGTCAATTGCGCGACACAGCGCGATTAGCCCAACTAAAACAACTTGACTGACTTGTTACAATCAAAAGCTCTCGCCGGTGGTATCTACAGATTCGCCCAACAGGCCTCGGCGAACCTGCGCGAGAAGGAAGACGGCTGGAACCATGCGATCGGTGCTTTCCTCGGTGGAAGCGTCATGGGCTTGCGATGTACGTGTACAAGAAGGAAAACAGAACCACCCCCAACCCTGTTTATACAAGTTCCATATGACGATGCGAGCGGTACCCCATACGCGGGAACGAACTACTCCACTTGTGACCCCAGACGGACATGATTCATGTCCTTGCTTACCTGCTCACTTGCGCTACTTGCTACCTACAACAACTAATGTCTTGAATCATCACAGCTCTTCGTTTCCCCGTCATCCTCGGTTTCGGCGCCATGGCCGGCTCCGTCGTTGGTGCCTTCGCCTTCTCCGGCGGGCTAACCGGATGGGGGAGGGACCCCAATGTCGACGAGTTCGAGAGGAAAGAGGCCATGCGTCTGAACAGGAGGAGGCCGGTCGAGGAAACCCTTGCGGAAGTTGGCGAAGGTCGGGGTAGGTCAAGTCTAATCAACCCTCTATCTCTCTTCTATGAGCAGCACACTTGCTAACCGAGCAAACCCCAACAAAGGTATCTACCCACCCGGTTACCAAGAACGCAGGCGCCAGAGACTCCTTGAGAAGTACGGAGTCGAGGTTAAGCCCGTCTCTGCGGATCCCAACGTTGCTTCTGCTTGAGAGGTGCGAAACGCTTGAAGATACAAACATGAGGATGATGGTGATGATGATAACAGGCAAGTTGGGATATACAGACCCATGGTTTCGGGACAGCGAGGGCCCTGGAAAACAGGACTGGCCTTACAGAGACAGACATCAGGGAAGAACAGGATGGGCTTTCTTTGACTTCTTCTAATACTCATGTCCTGTGGACACAGAAGAAGGAGGACAAAAAGAGCAATGGGAAAAACTGTACCATACCATCCAATAACATGTTCTCCTTCTTAGATGATCATCATTTGGTGCCATGAGATGAGAAGCAGCGGGTGCTTGATGATTTTGGGTCATATATCCCCGTGGGCGACTTTAAAACAACCAAGGGTCAGTGGAACGGGGCTGGAAGGTGGTGATATGCAGATGATTAACTCCTTACCAAAGGACCAAAGTCTGTCTGAACACCAGACAGAAGACTGAAAGTCGATAGAAAAAAAAGAAGAACAACAAAGACCTTTAATCCGATATGGGTACCTCTAGGTAGGCACGCGACGGTAGAAAAGGTTCAGACTCGGAACAAAGAAGGAGCATCGACCTCCAGATGGTGTCTGAATTAATATCATCGATGACATTGCGTTCGGACAGTATGATGGTGATATAGCGGACAGAAGTAAGGGTAAATGAAAAGACAGATAGAAGTGAAGAAAGAGGTGAGAAGAGGTAGGGAGCTAGGTAAGGATAGAGGTAAGTGGTTTCGCAAGGAAATAGGTAAAGAAAGGGAGGAGAGAGAGGAGAGAGACAGGTAGTGATTGGGATTATAAGAGGGTCAGACTCCAAATGACTTGTTAAAAGATACGGCAGTTATCATTATCATCACGCATATACATCGTGTTGAACATTCCATATCGTAAGCACCAGATCAGACCAGTGCGATATGTATACGTATCTCGGGTATCATGTTTCCCATCTTCCTCTCAAGGTTTACTCCTTCTCCTCTGCCCCTACTGTTTCTCGTCTGCCCCTCCTGATCCTTCTTTGACAGGAACCTCCTTATTCTCCTCCGGCCAAGGGATACCCGGCCACAGAATCTCCGGGCACGTCCCCAACACCGCCATCCTCCTCAAACAATCCGCCCGGTCTTTGGCCAGCACAGAAGTCAAAATCACCCACTTCTCCAGCGCATACCTCAAATCACCAATCTTGCGACCTCGCACGTCGATACCCCTATCAATGCACGCCAACACCACCTCGTCGTCCTCCAGTGCCTCGACACCGCCGCCCTTCTCCAGCAGATCCGTGTCGACAGCCAGGAAGCGCATGTGCTTGTGCACACCACGTTCCCTCCCGGCGGGACCCCACCAGCTCCTAATATCGTACGAGCGGGCGAGCACATCCAGCATGTTGAACTGCTCGCAGTCGTCGCTGAGGGGGTCGAGCTGATCCAAGGCTTCGCTGGCCGTCATGGGAAAGACGTCAATCTCCTCATGGTCGCCAAACTCCTCCCTATCGGCACGGGCTAGCTCCACCCACTCCTGCGCCTGCTCGCGGATCGGACGCGGGTCTACCTCCTGCCCGGCCTTTATGCGCTTCTCCCTTTGCTCCTTGATGATCTCTTCGCACTGCCTGATTTCGAATTCGTACTCTTCTTTTTCCTCTTCGGTCATGTCTTCCACCTTCTTCGGTTCCCCAATAGCCTCGACGGCCTCGTCCGGGAAGCCTTCTAGCGCCTCCAAGTCCTCTTTCACCTCGTCGTTGGAAATCAACTGGTAATCGTCCGCCTCGTACACCTCTCCAACCAACTCATCCAGCGCCGCCGCTCTCCGTTCTTCTATCCGCTTGAGAATCTTGTCCACTTGCTTTGGAATCCGACACGTGTAGGGAACGATGGTGGGCACGGCCAGCACGACAAAGGGTGTGAATTCCCCGCACACAAGCAGCAGCAAGCCGAATATGGGCAGCTTGTTAAGGTCGTGTTTTACGCGCTTGTAAAGTAGTAGGGAGCCGCGCGTACGGAAGCGGAGGTAGCCGTCGATGCAGTCGGCATCGGCGAGTGGGTTCTCGGAGCGCGCGATGGGACCCTCGCCGCCTTTGCCGACGGCGCGCAGGAGCTTGAAGTTGGTAAAGACCTGGCGCAAGCCGGTCTTGTAGAAGGTCAGGTAGGCCTTGCCGGTCGCGAAGAGGTGGGAGATTGTGGAGGCGTTGGGCTGGCGCTCGGGCAGGTTGAGAGGTGGAGGGCGGGTGGTGTAGGGCGGGTTGACGCCGGATCGGGCTTGTTGTTCGAGGACATCATTTAGATTAGGCTCGTCCTGGCGGGGGAGAGTCTGTCTGAAGGCGTTGTGTGTGGTTGACGAAAATAGGCGGACATTGCCGGTAGAGAGTTGAGAAATCGAAGGCTGCTGCTGCTGCGACTGTGCGAAGGAGAGGAGGCCCGTTGTTGACCTTAGTCGAGAGGGGGCGCTGTAAGCATGGCGGCAAGCGCTCCGGGCGCTGAGTGGTATCCTGGATATCATTGCATTCCCTGACGTATGGAATTGACCTGATAATTCGGTTGAGCGACAGGTATTGGTGTTTGTGTTGAAGAGAGAAGAAGAGATGGACAGGAAATGTTGGCCTCTTTTTTTCAGTGTGCAACCGCGCTTTACCAATTGGAGCTGGTTCTCCAAAACGACAAGTACGTAAATTACGTCAGTGTAGTAATGTGGTCCGAGCTTTGCCTCGGGATGGAGATCTGTGACGATTGATGACTCCGTTTTTAATGTTCTGATCTGAGTGGAAACTTGAAATATGCCGTACTGGATGAGAAAGTTGCTGGTACTACACTGATTGAGCAGGACGTTGTACAAAACAAATAAACTTTAATTTCTGTATAGCTTGAATATAGTTGCTTAACTCAAAGTTCGGTTTAAAGCTTTGCAGACGGCGCATTAAGATAAGCAGTGCACTCAATCTCGACATCACTGCCGAAAGGCAGCTGGGCAACAGCAACGCAAGTGCGGCACTGCACATGTTTGTATGTAAGCTTCAACTCTATTTCTCATCTCGTTTTATCTATTCGTAAATACGTACCGGCTTGGGCTCAGCGGTAATAAACTCGTCATAAGCCTCGTTCATGGCAGCAAAGTTGTCCATGGTGGTAAGGAAGACGTTCACCTTGACAACGTTCTTGAGGCTGCTGCCAGCCGCTTCGAGGACGGCCGAGAGGTTCTTGAAGACTTGTCTCTACACGTGGTAAAGAGAGCAATTTAGCACATGCCGTCTGTATTTATTCTCAACAAGGCCATACCGTCCGGTCCTTCACAGTTCCCTCGACCATCTTTCCTGTGGCGGGGTCGATACCGAGACTGCCAGAGCAGTAGACCATGCCATTGTACACAACGGCCTGGGACAGCTGCGGGATAGGCTTGGGGGCCTTGCTGGTCAAGACTGCTTTTGCGAGTGCCATTGTGTCTTTGTTGATTTAGGGAGACTGGTTACAACTCGAGCAGTGCATGTAGCCGCGAGGGGAAACGTTGTTATGAGATGTCTGTGTCCCGGATGAAACTTTAACGTACAAAGTGGACTCATTGGACCTTATCACTCGCCCGCCATCCCGTGTCAGTTCTAACGCGCAGCTCTCCTGCAGCTCTAGTGGAGCCTATGATGTTGACCTTGCTGGCATCAAGCGTTTCCATCGGAAAGCCTCGGGTGGTCAAGTAACGAGCGGTGGTATCACCCCGGAACTCAACATCTGAGATTTTCAAGGCTATTCAAGGTCTAATACGTGCGGTCAATGCAGGTACAATCAATATGTCAAGACTTGGTCATAACTTATACGACACTTTGAGCTCAACATTGAAAAAGCAGAGGTGAAGGTTGTAGTCTGGGTTAGGTTCCATCTTGGAGCAGGGATCATTGTGACCCAACCCGCGCTAGGGATGATCTGCTCTTTTCATTGTCCAATCAAAGTTCAGACAATTGCTGTGTTCATCTTGGCAGGGGCCCATTCCTTCCCCCACAGATGCAAGTGCACACATCGGGTCGGGTGCGGGCCGGTCTCGAACTTCGGGGAGGTCGGGACCCGGCTTCAAACCGAGAGAAGGAATCTCTTCTTCAAAGATAAGGTTCCCCCCTCTTTCAACTTTCCCCGTTGATTCATCTCCCACATAAACATAGCCAACCGAGGAGAACCTCCCCCAAGATGAACTGGCCATACCAGTTCCTCGACCTCTCCCAAGCCGAGAAGCAGGCCCGCCGCCAGTCTCTCGACAGTTATGCTCTTTACGCTCAGCTATCGGCTTTGATTCCCATTGGCCTCGTGTGGCTGTACCAGACCCTCAACAAGTCCTCATCATCTCGAAAGAGGGACTACACCGCGGTCCCCAGCTCCGACTCCTTCAACACCCGGAAGCAAAGCAATTGGTGGTCCAACTTGCGCTGGTGGCTTGGCGAGGATGTCGTCGCCTTCGGAGAAGTCCTGGGTCAACGAGAACAATGGATAGGCGGCATTGTCTGGGCAGTGTGGCTGCTAGTCCTCTGCGTAGCCGGTACCGGTCGTGATTACATGCACTTGACCAAGCGCTTCGGCATCATCGCCGTCTCTCAATACCCGATGCAGTACATGCTAACCCTCAAATCCTTCAACCCCGTCTCCTGGACGCTCAAGCTCTCCCACGAGGAAACCAACCGCTGGCACCGCGTCCTCGCCCGCTGCACCGCCTTCCTGCTGAGTCTACATACCATCTTCTACTACAACTACTTCATCCAGAACCACATTCTCCTCCAAAAGCTACAGTCCCCCGTAGTCATCTACGGCATGCTCTCCTTCTTTGGTCTGAATCTGATGATCACCACGGCCATTCGCCCGCTCCGCAACCGCTCGTACCGCGTCTTCTTCGTCACCCACCTGCTCATCGCCTTGGTTTTGCCGGTCGTCCTCTGGTTCCACGCCGCTTCCAGCAGGAAATACATGCTCGAGGCCTTGGGAGTCTTTTTGGTGGACATTGGCTTCCGCAAGCGCGACACCATCACGGTCGAGACCACCATCTCAGCCATCCCTGGCACCTCTTTGATCAAAATCCAGGTGCCCGTCCCGCGCCAGCGTCAGAACCACTTCCTCCGAGTGGCGCCGGGCGCCCACGTCTATGTTAACGTACCGCCTGCCACCCGCAGTGCTTTCCGCAGGAAGGACGTCAAGGCTGCTAATGATGCGTCTGAGATCCTGTTCGAGTTCATGTTCAACCCCTTCACCATTGCGCACGTAGACCAAGACTCGGGGGCCCTCACCCTTGTAGCTCGCCAGCGTGCGGGGCCGATGACTGCCGCTCTTGCCCGCTTTGCTTCCTCTTCTTCCTCTTCTTCTCCCTCTTCGCCAGCAGAAGAAAAGAAAGCCCTCCTCAACATTGAAGGGCCCTACGGCGCCGCCAAACATTTCCCCGCTCTATCCCTCGGCTCCGAGTTTGACCGTGTCCTCTTCATCGCCGGCGGCGTCGGCGCCACTTTTACTATCCCACTGTACCGCGCCATCGTGGCCGAGAACCCGGAAACCAAGGTGGAAATGGTCTGGGCAGTGCGCACGGCGGGGGAAGCCACGTGGGCGGTTATCGAAAACGATGCTAGTGACATTTTGAATGATCCGAATGTGCATATTTACTTGACTGGGAACAACGGGTCTGGATCTTCTGCACAGAAAGGAGGAGAAGGAGCAGGACTTAGTAGTGGAATCGACTCGGGTGAGAACTCGCCGTTGGTTAATCTCGGGGGAGAGGCTGGCGCTGTCGCTGTTGAGATGGATGCGTTGAGGAGGACGGTGGATGGAAGGGTTGTTTCTGGAAAGGAGCATCATCGGAGCAGACCGGATTTGAAAAAGGTGGTTGATGAGGCTTTTGGACATGGGCCGGAGGAGCGCGTGGCGATTCTGGTGTGTGGACCGGCGAAGATGGGGAGACAGGTGAGGAGGCAGGTTGGGAGGTATGTGAGGCAGGGGAGGGAGGTGTGGTTCCATAACGAGGGCTTTGGGTTTTAGAGAGTGTATGAATGTTGATATCTTCTGGATAATGTTTTACGGTCGATAAGCCTGTTACCTGGACAAAGTATGCCAAATTATGAAATGCTTGATTTGGGATTTTGGCTGTGTGCTCGTATGGTAAAAGGCTTTGTAGACTGACTGGTATAAAGGCAAAGTAAGCAATATTCCAGCATTCCCTGTTTTGCCAAATTCGCTTCCCATCTTTCCCTTTTATCAGGATGACTGACCCAAAGGTACCGTGACCGTGGAAAAACGCCTAGTAAGCAATGATCCGTGAAGACCAACACGATTCTCATCCAACCATCCAATTGGATATGTTTTTGCCCATCTCCCTCCTTTTCCACTTATTTACCTCAATCCACCCGCTTCTTAGCAGCCCCAGCATCCTTAGTAGCGTCCCCGCTCTTACCGCCAGCACCACTTCCACCCACATCACCCACGTCATCACCATCATCCCACGCATCAACCGCGTTCTCGTCCCAATTATCCAACTCCTCCTCAAGCGACATGTTCTTGGCCGTAGCCGTAGCCGTACCCGCAGCCGGGGAAGCCGCAGCAGCAGGAACAGAGGCAGCAGCAGCAGCAACAACAACCCCCTCCTCATGCTCCCCACTCCTCCTCACCTCCCCAAGTTCCAAATCAACATCCCCCTCAGGGATATCCTCCCCCGTAGGAACAGCCGTGTACTTTCTCACCCTCCTCCTTTCCAACATCCGTTTATGATACCACCCACACAATCCCAGCCCCAGCAAACTGCCCACCAGATTCGCCAAGATGTCATAGGGGTCAAACTCCCTGCCATTATTCGGGATCGCGGCCTGCACGAACTCGGAACCCACGCCCATGCCCAGAGTAACCACCGAAAGGGTTAAATGTAAAATGCGTCGGCGCGTGGTGTCAAGGATCCAGTAAAAGGTGACGGTCAAGAGGAAGAAGACGAAAAAGTGCAGGGTTTTGTCGTTGAGGAGGGTGCCTTGGGGCATGTGCAGCGAAGAAAGGCCGGCGTAGGCGGAGAGAAGGAGGAGGGCGGCGAAGATGCCTGTTTTTGTTTGTTAGCGGATGGATCCGACGTTATAGGCATATGGATACGATGAGGGCATGGGGGATCACGAACCGGCGAAGGGCATGCGTATCCTCATGCTGGATTACTTTCTGTTATTTGTTGTATGGTAGAAGATGTGTTGTCTTTGTGGGTAAGGTTTTGCGCAAAGGCTTTCGTTCGTCTCGGGTGTTGTTCGATAATTCGGTCGAAAATGGTCTATATAAGTACGCCTATCACAAGATAGTTGATGCCGTCATTGTTGTTGTCCTGGGGATAATTGCGCGGAGAGTTTGCTGGTGTTTGAATGGTTTCGCATGGATTGAGGACTCGAGTACTGTGGTTGTGGGAATCGTCGGGGTGCACCATGCAAAGGGTAAGGTACGTAGGGAGGCTGAAGCAATTGATGACCTTGGAGCAAAGTGTCACACAAGAGATTAGTAGTATGAAAAAAAAAAGAAAGAGAGGCTCGAGTCGGTCCAATCCGTGAGCCAAGAAACATCGGCGGAAGCAAAACTTTAAAAGTCGAGAGAAACGACCCTCTCAGTGTCTCAGCTCAGCACTCAACGGGCAACCTCAAGGGCACGCAGCAGCAGCAGCAGGGTGTCGGACCTTTCGGCAAGGAAGCGGGGCAGGGGGGTTCGGGAAGCTCTGGCGACGCAAGCCAAGCATTCAGGGCTGAAACCGTTGCGTGAACTGTTAAGAAAGTGTGCAGGTCCGGGCGTTGGGGCGGCAGCGCGGCGGGATAAAGCTGTAGAGTTAACAGCTGTGGCGCAGGCGAACGGGAGTCCAAGCGTCCGTCGAGGTCCAAATCAAACCCGATAACAGATAAGCTCGACATAGCTAAGTACCTAAGTATGGAAGGTACGGAACTCGGCGAAATGCAGACGGAATCGTGAGCTGAACGACAGGGACGGGGGCAAGCCGTGCTGTTGGACTGGACAAGAGGAAGAGACTGGACAAGGAAAGGAAGCAAATGAGCGTCAGAGGAAAGCAGTCCATCGCTGCAGAGTGGCTCGCTCGTTGATCACGACACAGAGTTACAGGCCCAGCCCCAGGTACACAGCTACCTACAGACGTCTACACGTGCTCTTCTCTGCCATTGACTACGTAAGAACGGGGCATCGGTGGGCATTGGCAGGGCATGGCATTGGGGAATGGGCAGACGGGACCTGAACGGGGTGGGCGGGGCTTCTCCGCGAAATGGGCACGACTCCACGAGGGAAAAGGAGTGCCCGTGACGGGACTCTCACAAGAGGGAGGCACTAGGGCGGTGGGAAAGGCATGCCCCTGGACATCATCCCATGGGACCCGGGGAGAAGAATGACGATCCCTGCCTTGCGTTGCTCGTCCTGGTCGACGATTCCTACATGATATGTTCCACGAGTCCGTCTCGATGCTTGCTATTTTGTGGACTGTGTACCCTCTATCCCTGGAGTGAGAAGCCAATATGTTACTATGAACAGCTTCTACATACTCAGACTCACGGAGACAAGATAGTAAACCTAGTTAAGATGACTGACTCTTTGCGTTTCCGGAAACCAATTACCTTAGCAGCGGGGGCGGCTCCGTTCTCTGGTCTCGTCCATACTACGCCAAAGCCCCGGGGACAGGTTCACCAAAAGACACCCATGGAGGCACGGCCAAGGTCTCACGTGACTTTAGCATTTCCCCAGAGCGCTGCTTCTCACTCCGCCAGGGCGGGTACCGTACGTGCTTCCTTGGAACAGCGAAATACCTCTACGTATTCAACTCTTATACAACTTGGAATTGCCGCGCGCATCGACAGCTCCAGCTTTGTTAACTTTTTCTGGTGCTCGGCGATCACCTGCGCAGAATCCCCATCACCTGTCTTAATTGGGGCGCAAGTCGAAAAAGGGGCGCCGCAAACACTAGACATAGGTACCTATCTGCTAGTGTACGGCTAGACGGGAACTATCTACCTACTACCTACCTACCTAACTTCGCAGCGTCGCGTACCAGCTCCAGTGTGGCATTACCCACGGCACCACACCACAGGCAACCTAATCCAGCGCCAAGTACAGGTAGCCGGTACCTACAACCTGTCGCCCTCTAGATGTTAGTGCTAGGGGCGTGTATAGCACCTCAGTCAACGTCAATTCATAACTCTCCCTAACATCACCGCTGCTGCACCCGTCAACCGCGACCTGACCAAAACCGCCCGCCCCTTGTCCAGAAACGGCACGACGGGGAGCCCACTCTAAACTTGACCTCACGTCTGACTTCCCAGCAGAACAGTCGCAACGACATCCATCGCCGCATCACCACCACAGCCCCTATTCCGCTCTCGACTGCAGTTCCATCTCGACCGATGCCCCTCTTTCTCCCCATGTGACCAGGTCGCCCCAAAGTGCCTTGGTGCCGGATATACACGAGCGCACTTTCTGGCGCATGGCGACCGACCGCCGGCCCCGTTTAATATAACTCCACGACCCGGTCCGAAAATGTCCATTACCAACGGTCAGCATGCCTGGCCTCCGCCCTCGACCGCCGCCCATATGAACGGTATCAGGGCCGTCATCCCCCACCCCAGCCAGGACGATGGGCCCCCGCGAACCCAGACTCCCTTTGATAATTCCACCGCCTTGATGCCTGAGGCACCGTCATCCGACCCCGACGACGACCAGCGCCGCTCCCACTTCGTCGACAAGTACCACAAGGCCGACGAGCGGATCGCGCTGCTGTTCGCCGATGACGGCTCCTACAACATTCCCGTCATAGCCGCCTTGAAGCGCGCCCCGACACCCCCCATACCCCTGCTCCCTCCCACGACCGATCACGCGCCGATCCAGGAGCCCCCCCGCAAAAAAGCGAAGCGCGTCATCGACGAGGACGACTATGGCGACGACGACGACGACGACGACGACGAAGACGACGACGATCAAGAAAGCGATCACCCCGTCGCGACTGACACCAAACCAGACACACAACTAACATCCAAGCATTCCGCCAACGATGCCGCCGCTCGGGCACTCCTCTCCCCGTCCAAGTCCGGCAGCTCTCCCGTCCACTCTATACCCTCGCCAGGGCGGCAAGCAGACCGGCAAACAGCCAAGGAAGATGGATCGCAACCCCAGGCAAAGTCCTCCGAGGATGCGCGCAGGGAATTGGAGGCGGCGCGCAATGCGACCGAGGAGGCGGCCAAGCGCGGATTTCATACCCTCTTTTACACACTCGAGAACGACAGGACAGCAATGCTCGAACAACAGCAACTGGAGGAATCCGAGAAGCAACTACAAGCAGAGATGGACAAGTCGGGACAAACAAACCACAGTCAAGGAGCCCCCAGCCAAAACAACCACGGCTCTCTCAGCAGTGCCAACCTCGGCGCTTCAAGTCTTACCCTAAAACACTTGATTGCCCGAATAGACATGAAGCGCGACCGCGTGCAGGCATCGGACGCTGAACTACGGTCGCTTATGAACGAGGTTCGCAAGAACAGGAGTAAATGGGCTAGCGAGGAAAATGTCGGCCAGGAAGAGTTGTACGAGGCACTGGACAAGGTCTTGACGGAGCTTAAGGCGCACACCGAGTACTCAACTCCCTTTTTGACCAAAGTGAACAAACGTGATGCGCACGACTATTATAATAGTGAGTTTTTTGGGGTTACCGTATGGAACACTCGCTCGCCCAGTTTAGGCTAACACCGTGGTCAGTCATCAAACAGCCAATGGACCTAGGTACAATGGCCAAAAGACTCAAGACTCTCCACTACAAGTCCAAGGCCGAGTTTGTCACGGACCTCAACTTGATTTGGGATAACTGTCTTCGATATAACCAGGACTTGGCCAATCCTCTCCGCCGGATGGCCAATGGGATGCGCAAGGAGGCTGAGAAACTAATTCCCCTAATACCGGACATCGTGATCAGGCCCAGGGCAGAGGTTGAAGCCGAGGAACGCCGAAAACAGAACGGCGGCGAGGACGAGGCTGGCGATGACAGTGACGACGAGCCAATAATGTCATCTCGTGGACGAAAGGCTGGTACCAAAGGGACCAACAAGTCACGGAAAGCACCAACAGACCAAAAAGAAGGGACACCAAGCGTCGACCAAAAACCGATATTGCAACTCAACGGTATCCTAGCCAAGTCTCACAGAGAGGGCTCCGAGGTCGACGGCAGCAATGGATTTGGGACGCCTATCGGCGGGTCCCTTACACCCAGCAATATAAATGGTGGACACTCGGGGGTCAGCAACGCGGATGCCATGGAGCTTGATGGGCCATCACTCAACGGAATGGCCTTGAATCATGCATTCAGAGAAGCGGAGGAGCAGGCGTATGAGGACGAAGAGTACAAGATCTGGAAACAAGTAACGAAAAAGGATCGTGCTCTTCTGGCAAAGGAGCGTTTCCAGCTGTTCAAGGACAACAAGCTAAATCCCGATGAGCCTGCATTACTGCGAACCAAAGCCGGGATGCGTCGATTTCTGAAGTCACGCAAAGAGGCAGAGGCCATGGGCGTGATCACCTCACAAGGCGATGCTCCTGGTAGTGGAGACGGCAACAAGGTGGCAGAGACATTAGCCCAGGGCATGGAGGATGAGACTATTCGGAATGTCCCTGCTTATTACGAACCCCAAACGATCATACCCGATATCCCATCAAAGCTACAATGGGTCGAGGATGGCGAGGGACAAGTGATCAATCAGCATGAAGAGTTCCTTCGGCTCGTCCCTCCCGGTCAATTCACCGCCCCAGAGAGTCGGCTGACCAAGAAGTTCGATGCCAACATTCGGCAGATGCAAGAGACTCGCAAACTGTGCTCCAAGATCAGCGTCATCAAGCAGATGCAGATCCAGACTCAGGTAGGCTTTGCGAGTCCAATGAAGCGTGATTCTTTTTCACCTTGACGGCTTAGATGCTGACATGCAAATGAATAGGTATATACGAACCAGTTCCCCAAGTATAACCCGGAGCCGATGGTGGAAGCCGATATCGAGCCCACCTTTCTCGCCGGTGAAGGTCCCGTCATGGCCCCTGAGGTGTGCAGGGCGGCATTACAACGATCCGTCGCCAAGATCTTCTATCATGCGGGCTTCGAGGAACTGCAGCCCTCCGCCCTGGATACGATAACCGACATTGCTGGCGACTACTTTCAGAAGATTATCCGGTCATACAACATATACCGTGAAGCCGAGTGGAAGGAGGCACCGCCTGCATGGAAGGAAAAGGGGGTAAAATACGTGCCCAGATTCACGAACGAGGAAGTCATCTTGCACACATTGAGCGAAAGTGGCATCGAACTGGATGCGCTGCAGGCCTACGCCAAGGACGATATCGACCGCCTGGGCAATAAGCTCACCCAGATCCACGATCGTATGAAGGCGCATCTTGCCGACCTACTGCGGCCGGCACTGACCGACAATAGTGGTGACGGATCAGGATCATTCGAAGATGGCAGCGAGCAATTTGTGGGAGGCGACTTTGCAGAGGAACTTGGCGATGACTTCTTCGGCTTCAAGGCCCTTGGTCTCGACCGCGAGCTGGGTCTCGAGATGCTTTCAGTGCCACTACACCTGCTGCAATCAAGGGTTCGGAACCAATACCAAATGCAGGCCTCAACAACCGGCCAGGCAACTACCGACCTCTTCGAGCAGCTCCCGCCTGCCGACCCGGTCACCAAGGAAAGCATCCAAGAGGAAATCGGCCTGGTCAAGAACTTCTTCCTTGCCAAGCTGCATGCCAATAACGATCAGCCGCTCGTGGAAGACGAAGACCTGCCCGTCAAGCAAAGGAAGCCACGTCCTCGTCTGGCCGCCAGCGGCAAGATTACCGCCCCGGCCAAGCGGCCGCTCAGAGAGCAGATCGCCGCAGCCAAGAAGAGAAAGAAGGAGGCCCTGGCGGGCGCCAATGCCTCGCCAGAGAAGGCGGGGGCGGCCGCGGGTGGTACACCCTCCAAAAAGGCCAAGACCAGTCACAACTTGGTCAACGGTACGGGCGCCGCAGGAGGAGGAGGAAGTGGTGGCAATGTCGGCGGGTTGGTTGCTCCGTCTATGGAGAGAATGGGGAGCGTAAACAGCCAGACAAATGCGAGCATCACGGATAAAGATGACGCCGGGGCTATGGGCATGATGAGCCCGGAAAGTTTCGAGCAAAAGTGAGAGCAGAAGTGGGAGCAGTTAATGGAGGTTGCTTGGAAGCTCGTTGATCCACGAGAGCGGGAAACAAGAAACAGAAGACGGGATGATGACATTGGTAGATGAGTGGGGAGAGGATCTCAAGGGAAAGAAACAAAAAAAGCATGAAAGCGCTTTTCCTAGTGTATTCTGTCTTCTGTGTGTCTGGGTCAGTGTGGAACTGGTGAAGATGGTTCGGGTTTACGGTCAGGTTAGGTTGGGACAGGTTAGGTCGGGTTGGGTTGATTCGGATGGCCATCTGTTTGTCTGGTTGTGTATGCTGGACCGGACATTTGTTGGTTCCGTCATTTCTTTTTTTGGTTTATCCGCGAAGACGGGGAAGGCTACGGTGGCAGGCCTTTCTCCTCTTTTCTTTTTTTTAAACTTCTTTTCACATCATGTTGTTTTCTTTAGGAAGAGGGGGCGGGCACGTACTTCCCTGTACTCGAAACTGATTGATTGGTTTGGTTGATTGACTGAGTGATTGATTGATTGATATCCCTGATCGCGAGAGAGATCCGAGACAGTGAGAAGAGACAGAAAGAGAGAAATTTTATAATTTGCATTTGATCCCTGCCTTGACTACAACTTGACCTTGACCATCTGACCAACTACTCATTGCCTCAATGTCAACGCCAGATGAAACCTCTTCTTCATGCGACCCGCCGCTGTCTCACTGAACATCTCAAAAGGTAAGCCAAAGTTATCCTCGACCTCAGACATCGCTTTTTTCTAATCTTCTTTGTAACCTCGCCACTTGTCAATTCCTCGCCCTCTTCACCAGCGACTGGCTGTCTTGCGTTGTTAGAGTCACTATCTCTGACGACTCAGGCTTTCTTCTCAAAGCTTCTCCAGAACTCATCGTCTCCAATTCGATCAACATCCACGACAGCTTGTCCACCAAGAAAGTCCTTCTTGCACTCCTCTATGGTGAGAAAAGACATTCGTCATAGTGTTCCTCCAAGGGGTTAACTTCGAGGGTTTGGGGTTTTATAGAAAGGCTCCTTCGGCTTGTTGGAAGGCTGGGTCATGTGGTGGTCATGGTTTTGGGATATTTGGGGATGATGATAATTTCCGTGAAGGTTTTGAAAGGAATTCCTGGATCATGTTGGTCCATTTTTTCCCCCCCCTTCTTGCGTAACAGTACTTCTGAAGACGTTGTATACGGAAAGTTTCGGTGCATGGGCAAGATGGCGAGGAGTGACTGATGGTCTATCAAGATGTATGTAGAGACCTACGTACGGACCGTTGGACGTTGTCAGGACCAACATCCTCATTCTCGAGTGGATCATTATACATGACGCACATGAACGGTCTTTCTTCATTTGTACATAGGGCTTGTTATTCCATTCATGTCCTGTTGATTGCATCACCGGACTTGAAGATTGCGTTGGTATAATTAGCACGGGGGAACAGCAAGACAAACACAACAGTGCAGCGATTTGCCTATGTCTAACCCTTACAACGATACTCAATAACAACAGTTTCCGTCTTCTTCGCAGTTTGTAGAAACATCTCTACAGTGGCCGCTCTGATATCGCTTACTTTAGTCCTGAAAAAAAAAAACGACTCCCTACAGCCTTCGTCCACATCACATCGTTTCCCACTTCCTGTTCCTGCCCTTTATCATCGACTTGCTTCCGATGCCAGAGACCCAACTACTTCCCACTGAATATATTCGAGCCAACGAACATCCGGAATTCCAACATCGTCCCAATTTATCCCAAGTTTCTCCACCAATTGTGGCATCGTCTTGTTCAACCACTGACGGTCCGGATAGCCCCATCTCATCGCAATGTTTCTCGAGTCAGGCATTGAGACTTTGACAAATCCCAGTGAGTGGAGTATCATCAAAGCAGCGTATTTGTCCCTTTCCGCCGCCTCTGTGGTTTCGTATGTCTGGTCTGACCCGAGTGTCAAGGTGGGAGTTGCATCGTTCCATGGCCATGTATATAGGAAATTGTCAGGTCCGATTAATTTGTAGGTTGTGTGTCTTGTCCATCGTTCGAGGAGACCATAAGGAGGAGCCAGGAAAAGTTTCCAGCTTAAAAGTCCCTTGGCTGAAAGTGGTAGGTCATGCATCGTGAGTTGCAAATGGATGAGTGCGGGAGGTTGCACGCAGTTAGGCTTCGATGAAAGAGTGGTGGTGCCCTGAGTTGCACTAGCAGATTTTGCCGAAGCATGCTGTTCAGGTTGCTGGTTGGTCATGATATTGGTTTGCAAATATGAATATGGAATTCTTAAGCAAGTTTCTGGGGATGGTTTATGATGCCGTAGAAATGTGATGAGTTACGGTGAGTGTAGGAGTCGTGGTGGATGGGGACTCAGCTATATACCTATACAATCTGGACCAGACGCGAATGCCTTCAAATAACCTCTTTCCTTTTTCTTTTTCCCTGGCAATACCAATCACATAACTACGGTAACCGCGGCCGTCCCTCGACACCACACGCGGCATGCACCGTTGGGTTATTTCTCTATTTGTTCCTCCTTCCATATCCTCAAAGCACAACAAGTGTAGTAATAGAGGTAGATTCATCATAGGAACTTCCACTTGTAATTTCCAACAGACAGCGTCCGTACTTGAATCTAATTTCCATTGCTGTGTCTAAGGTAGCCAGCACCCGCCTCAAAGGCAAAGAGCTCCTCTCCTGTTTCTCCCAAATAATATCCAGGTACTGACAGCAGCTACCTACATATCACCCATTCCGGACCTCGAAACCTTCCTCTTGCTGGCCTTCAACCGTCCAGAGGTACTTTCCCACTTACAGCCTTTCCTTTCTTTATTATCAACTGTATATCCTTCCATCTTCTTCTCTACCTCTCTCCCCTCTTTCCCACTTGATATGCTCCAACCATCAATTACTGAAAATTTCCCGATGCCAAAACCACCAATCCTGCAGGTTACCTTCGGCAGCTCCCTTCAGATACTAGTACAGACCCGGCAAGCTATTCTTCATCTGACCGAGACCGGGGACCAAATTCCCATTTGAACACCGACGTCACCAGAGGCCGTCATATCTCCGAGCCTTCAAGACAAGAGAGTATCCAAAGTGCTCTTCTCTCCCGTCTCATCACCGTTCGGCCGAGTGTTGTCGTGGCCACATACATTTGAAGCTGGAGCGTGGGATAGGGAGAGTATTCTTTAGCCACTCAATATCCGCTATCTGAACCTTGGGAAGAAGTCCTACACCGTCAACTAAGTTCGGCGCATGCGGTATTCCTACCCTAAGTACTTACCTTGTGATCACCTCCGCAGTGAAAAGCAAGATTGTAAAGAAGAAAAATAGAGGCAAAAAAAAAAATTAAGACAGTGAAGGAGCCAGAAAAGAGAAACAAGGGGCAAAAAACAGTGGGAAGAAGGATACTATCTAGAGATGCGTGACCAGAAACTCGTGAGAAAAAAATGGAAAAAAAGCAGTAAAGGAATACAATACGACAAAAATGAAAAGTACCGACACACCTCTAAATGTTTACCAACAGATAAGCGGCGTAGCGATAAGCACACTGACCGGAGCAAAGTCCGGACGCACCAAGACAACATCATTACATAGACACAGACACTGCCGAACTTCATCCCGGCCAGCACAGATTTCTTCAATCTGATTATCTCCAAGTCAAATACGTATGTAGAGGTAGCCAGCTGGGAGGATCTATCTATCCCATATATCTAATCCCATCTAGTAAGTATCCTACAGCAACGTGACATCGGAAGGAATCATCGCAAAAGCCCCAACATGCCAGGTGGTGTGGAAAAAGGTTTGGACACTCGTTGGGTCTGGTTTGGTATAAGCGTGTCCAGACTTTTTCTCATCATACCTCTGCCGTAACCCCGTAACGCATACCCTCATGAGCACAGACATCATCCACACATATACAACCACGAACCCGACATATGTACAACATGGGCCATCGTCCTCAGTTTGCCGCAAAAATAGTTGCGTCTATTATGATCCAGGGCACAAAACTTGTACCCCCAACCGCGTTGAAGCAGTCGTCTAAAACAACTAGTTATCCCCACCGAACTCCGCAGTCCTGAAAAATGATCATGTTGAGGACCAAGTACCAAATTGCAACGCCCCTTTAGAAATGCATGCAATATGGTGAATTTTTTCCGACTCCCAGTGACTTTTCTTTCCCGTAACCTAATCCATCGTTGAGATCGCAAAACCAGTGACCCTTTTAAACCACCCTGTTTTTAGTTTTCCCCAAGTCTTCATCCCGGGTCTCATGCAAAGTTGAAAAACATATCCGCGACCCATTGGCATCGCTGTTGAAAAATGCCCCAAACGCTTATATATCGTATATCTTCATTACCACGCAAAACATTCAGGAAATCTCTCCATGTGAATGACACATTTAGAGACCGGCATCGTACCTCCAGCCCTCAACGGGGAGGGGGAAGGTGTTGCTCCAGGCAGCAATCTCCTGCTTGAGCTCGTTGATGCGGGGAATATCGCTGGTGGCGATCTTGGCCTTGAAGTCCTTCTGCTTGTTAGCCTCCTTGGGGAGGGAAGCCTGGATCTCCTTGCAGAGCTTGACAGCCTCATCGACGAAGACGGCGACCTTCTCGAAGTCGGCCTCGCCGAAGCCACGGGAGGTCATAGCGGGGGTACCAATACGGAGACCGCCGGGGGTGAGGGCGCTCTTGTCGCCGGGAACGGCGTTCTTGTTGCAGGTGATGTTGATCTGCTCAAGGAGGAACTCAACACGGGCACCATCAACGCCGATGGGGCGAAGGTCAACGAGGACCATGTGAGAGTCAGTGCCGTCAGAGACGAGCTTGTAGCCGAGCTCCTTGAGCTTCTTCTCGAGAGCCTTGGCGTTGGCAACGACCTTCTGCTGGTACTCCTTGAACTCGGGGGAGGCAGCCTGCTTGAGGGCAACGGCAAGGGCGGTGATGGTGTGGTTGTGGGGGCCACCCTGGTGACCAGGGAAGACGGAGAAGTTGATCTTGTCCTCAAGATCGTAGAGGGTCTCCTTGCCGGTCTTGGCGTCAACGGAGCGGACACCGCGGCGGAAGAAGATCATGGCGCCACGGGGGCCACGGAGAGACTTGTGAGTGGTGGTGGTGACGACATCGGCGTAGAGGAAGGGCGAGGGGATAACCTCGGAGGCAATGAGGCCGGAAATGTGAGCCATATCGACGACAAGGTAAGCGCCAACGGAGTCGGCAATCTTGCGCATGCGCTCGTAGTCGATCAGACGGCAGTAGGCAGAGGTACCGGCGACGAGGACCTTGGGACGGAAGAGCTGGGCGTTCTTCTCGAGGGTATCGTAGTCAATGATGCCAGTGTCAATGTTGACGCGGTAGGGCATGGTCTCGAAGTAGGTGGAGACAGCAGAGATCCTGGCGAGGGTAGACGGGTTAGTTTGGCCCTTGTTTAACTGGAGTAGCTAGTATGGCACTCACTTGCGCTGGGGGGTCTGGTAACCGTGGGAAAGATGGCCACCGTGGGGGAGGTCAAGACCCATGAGTCTGCCGTGGACGGGCATGATGGCCTGGTAGACCTGGAGGTTGGCAGGGCTGCCGGACAAGCACTGAACGTTGACACCCCACTGCTTGGGGTCGAGGTGGAAGGCCTCAAGGGCACGGTTCTGGCAGAGAACCTCGATCTCGTCGATGTGCTGGTTGCCACCATAGTAGCGGGCGCCGGGAAGACCCTCCGAGTACTTGTTGGACATGGGGGAGCCGAGGGCATCGAAGACGGCACGCGAGGTGACGTTCTCGGAGGCGATGAGGATGATGGACTCGCGCTGGCGCTGAACCTCCTTCTTCATGATCTCGGCGACCTGGGGGTCGGACTCGACCAAGCTATGCTCGAGCATCTGTATATTGTAGGGTTATGAGTCAACATGTTTGTCCCTTCAATATGCGGCCACAAAGAGTATCTGAAGCAGAAGGGTTACCACGTACGGCCTTGTGAGTCTCGGAGAGGGAGTAGGTGGACATGGTGACTGATTTGGGGGGGTTGGCTTCTGAGAAAGTGAGAGGCCGTGTGAGGATTGAGGATGATGAAGGAAAGAAGGGAAAGACGAGAGGAAAGGAAAGGAAAGAGAAGAGGGGACTGATGACTGAGATATAGAAGGAGGGGCACTGAGATCCAGGGTTGCTGGGCGACTTCGACTCAGTCAACCTCTGACGGGAATTCACTTTGAGTGGCTGCGCGGGCCCAGTCGCGGGTCCAGTCGCGGGCGGCGGCCGGGGGAGGGTGAAAGAAAAATTATTGGAACCCCGCCAACGTGCAGCTCCTCCAATTCGCAATCGCCCTCAGCTGCAAATCTACTGCCAAAAATCGCTAAAAACGTGACCATCCGCCGCACACTGCAAGGACGGGGCCCGATCTCCGGACCTCAGAACAAAGTCTGGGCCCCGCATTCGACATGGCTTTCTCCACCACATTGGTCACTGGCGTGAGCTGTTGCGGTCCATAATCCTGGTTATCGCAATACCGGGGGTTCGCTACCGGGCCATTGCAGGCGACGACGATGACTCTTCCTCTTCCAGATTTTGAGATCTGCGACTGAGTCTTGGCCTCATCGTCGCAGGTCTCTTCGCTCTCGTTTCCATTTCTCATTGTCGGCTCAGCCTGTGTTTCAATCCAGAGTTTTGGTTCAAATTTGTCTTTTTCGTATTTGTCTAGTGATACAGTTGAGCCCTGATGTGGTCAAGTTTGTTTTCATGGAAGCGTGGTTCTATAAGGACCTTTTTAAACAGAGAAGAAAACATCAGATTCCGGACCTCCCATTGATCTCACCTATCACAAAACAAAAAAAGGTGGCGAACAACACTCCCGTCGATCGTGTCCCGCCACATGTGCACCAATATGGCACTCTAATCACAGCGAGCAATAGCAAACCAAAAATAATTCACAGATCAGAGCTCCCGCCTGGCCAGCTACCAGCCTGAAAACCCAGACAGTGTATAAGAGTCCTCTACACTACACACATTGTAGAAGTCCCGAGCCAACACACAAACCACGCCAAATCAGGTTGAACTACACTATATATTCATGTCTAAAAGATTGACAGTGATACCACAACAGTACCTACCTGGATGCTATTCAGGCGAGTCAGGTTAGTACGTAGCGGTTGGAGATAAGATGAACCATTAGCTTATCGGCTTGAAGGATGACATGGGCATGACATCTCACCTGATACCAAGGCCAGTGTACACTACAACCACTCACACCTTCCCGTCAACACGGCACAGTCCGTCGTGCATCTTCACGTCAAGTTCGCGTACTGGTTGAGGTGCTTCTTTGAACTGGGCAGTGTTCCTGCCGGATGCCACAACTCGCAACAAATGGACTTTGAGAATGGACTCTACCTCTACCTGTGCGGAATCACATGTACCCTGCCTTATCGTCTTCAAGTTTTGATAACAACTCGAACAATTGCTCGATGCACTATTGAGAGCTACTTAAGCTTAGTGCTCCTCAGCTCAAAGCCAAAAGTATTGCCAGATGTCGGAGTCTCAGACAGCCATTGTCTTGTCCGCATCCGTGCTCAATGGCCTTCCATGCCTGTCTCCCCGTCCCTTCATGCGTTCTCGTTTCAGTCGTGTCGAGTCGAGCACTTCGCTTCTCAGTGAAAAGGAACGGTGAACCTCTCTGGCTCCATGGCAGACCGTTATGTAATCCATCGATGCCTTTTAAAGATGGCTAGCCCTTCGTCTCACTGGGTCCACCTCCGGTTTTGTCTGGGATAGAGTGGAAACACTTTTGCAAGCCATCCAATCATGACATGGCTAGCCGGGAAGCGAGGAGCGCCTTGTTTGCACCAGTTTGCGCTGATAGGGCCAGCGATCGCGACCCCAAGAAGCCCCTGCCTGCAGCGACCGGCCCTGGTCTTGGGTCACACGTCATTGGGTCACCAGGCACAGCAAGGTACGCGCAACCACTTCTGCCACTGGACCATCAAACTGAAGTGAAGGTGCGGGAGTGCCATCAGTCCGCATTCATCGATCCGGGCCTCCAGTGTGTAGTCGTAGGCAACCAGCCGCCACGCTCCTTTCCCCATGGCCGGTCACACACGAAACAGCAAGGGCCGCTGGTGGGAAATGGAAACAGGATGTGCAAGTCTATAACAGAATGTGTATGTAAATGCCCGCGTGGTCTGTTAATGTACTGTGTAGTCGTCTAGCGGCTTTGGTCGCCCTCGCCATCGTCCACATCACACCCGCACCCGCCAGCAGCAGCTGAGGGTGCCTCTCCACTTCTGTCACTTTAACAGGCCCTGGGTCGACCTCCAACTCGCCTGGCTGCAACATCCCGCACCACCCATAAGTAACCTCCGACCGACATCTCTCTTCCCGCCTTCTTTCTCTTTCCCACCCACTGTTGCTCTCCACTACAATTCTTACTTGTTGTCCCATCATCATCAACCAGGCATCTTATCATTTCGAAATCCGTCACCAGTCTTTCGTTACACGCTCGTTCTTGTCACTACAGTGCTCACGATGAAGGGTGCTTTGTTGACGGCAGCTATGCTGCTTGGCTCGGCTCAGGCCGGAGTACACACGATGAAGCTCAAGAAGGTTCCACTTGCGGAGCAGCTTGTAAGTGTAGACCGTTTTTCTTAATGGCTACTATGAACACTTGTTGATGATGTTCGTTATCAGGAGTCGGTTCCCATCGACGTGCAGGTGCAGCACCTCGGACAAAAGTACACTGGTCTCAGGACCGAGTCCCATACCCAGGCTATGTTCAAGGCCACCGATGCTCAGGTTTCCGGCAACCACCCGGTTCCCATCACCAACTTTATGAACGCTCAGTGTAAGCATTACACCCTCCTTTGATCACTCGGTGTATGTTGGCGTGGGCACCGTAATTAACGTCTGGTAGACTTCTCCGAGATCACCATCGGAACGCCACCCCAGACCTTCAAGGTAGTTCTGGATACCGGCAGCTCCAACCTTTGGGTTCCCTCTTCCCAGTGCGGCTCCATCGCCTGCTATCTGCACAACAAGTACGAGTCTTCCGAGTCGTCGACATACAAGAAGAACGGAACGAGCTTCAAGATTGAGTACGGCTCTGGTAGTCTCAGCGGCTTCGTCTCTCAGGACAGAATGACGATTGGTGACATTACCATCAATGACCAGCTTTTTGCCGAAGCGACCAGCGAGCCCGGCCTGGCTTTCGCCTTTGGTCGCTTTGATGGCATCCTCGGCCTCGGTTACGACCGGATTGCTGTGAATGGCATCACCCCTCCCTTCTACAAGATGGTTGAGCAGAAGCTCGTTGATGAGCCCGTCTTCTCCTTCTACCTCGCCGACCAGGATGGCGAGTCCGAGGTTGTGTTTGGCGGTGTCAACAAGGACAGGTACACTGGCAAGATCACTACGATTCCTCTTCGCCGCAAGGCCTACTGGGAGGTGGACTTTGATGCTATCGGTTATGGCAAGGACTTTGCGGAACTTGAGGGCCACGGTGTTATCCTCGACACCGGCACCTCTCTTATCGCTCTCCCCAGCCAGCTCGCTGAGATGCTGAACGCTCAGATCGGCGCCAAGAAGAGCTGGAACGGTCAGTTCACCATCGACTGCGGCAAGAAGTCGAGCCTCGAGGATGTAACCTTTACGCTTGCTGGCTACAACTTCACCCTCGGTCCCGAGGACTACATTCTGGAGGCTTCTGGCAGCTGCCTGTCGACCTTCATGGGTATGGATATGCCCGCCCCAGTTGGTCCCTTGGCCATCCTTGGAGATGCTTTCCTCCGCAAGTACTACTCAATCTACGACCTCGGCGCCGATACTGTCGGCATCGCCACCGCCAAGCGCTAAATAGCCTTGAGAACGAAGTTTGGGTAACCTGTACTTGGAGAGCAGGAGTTGATGAGACTGTCACGTTGATCAAGTAGTTCTTAATGACTGTATGATGATGGGAGGGCGCTGCGGCATTGGGTTTGTTTTCTTTTTTGCAGTATAATAGCAGTATCGGTATCTAGGATCAATGGCTCATTGAAGTCAGCTTGCGTCAACAAGACATATTGGAACTGAATTATTTTAAGCCTCGAGTGTCTTCGTTGTTGAATGTCTGTGATCGTTGTTACTGCCAAGGCTGGAATGAGCTTTGAGGGTGTAACAGGACGAATACAGGACTCACTGTGGTCATGTATCTCTACGGCTGCCAATACGAAAGCTTCGTCCGCTCCTGACAGTGCACAACCTGATGTATACCTTGATCACATCCACTACTTGAATGTTGGTTCGTTAGCGGTGCGTGTTTGGAGATATACTCCTTTTTAGCAAAACGAAAGATAAGAGCACCCAAACTGATAATGCTATCCAAGGGAGAAGCTGCTGAAGCCGGATAGAGAAGGTGAAGAGGCATGAAGAGGCACGGGCCAAGCCTCTCACGTGAATGCACCTTTGACTAGGCCCACTAATTCCCTCATGCGCGCTAGTGCAAAGATTGGAACGGCTGGCTTTTCGTAACCAAGTGCAGTGCAGTTCTGTTTGAAGGACAGACAAGACTGAGAGAGAGATCTGAGAGCCGGAGACTGTCCAGGGTCAACTTGTCCTCGTTGCACGTAACCTGGAACGCGATACTTCTTGAACTACTACTTCTTTCTTTCGTTTGGACGTTTGATGCCTATTACGTAGGGGCTTTGAAACGACTGCGAGATTTTTTTGGTTCAAACATTATGTGCTAGGTGTGGATGGAGTCCCATCTCTGAACGCCTTTTTTTACTATTTTTTTTTGATGACCAAAGTTTGGAGAGTTAGAATTTCAAGTCGCACCGAGGGGACCTTCCTCCAAATATACGACTGGAGCACTCTCACTGCAGCGAACACCAACAAGCACTCCCAGCACTCAACAGCAGCAGCAAAAAGAAGCCGCAGCCTCCAACTAGTTAGTGGCTCGGACCTCCGTCCTTCCAGTCACCTCAGTCCATCCTCCCCGGGCCAGCTTTGAGAGTCCACGGACCAGGCACGGCCACAGCACCTAACCTGGAAACACACTCAGCAATCGCACTTTTGGCCCAGCATTCCACTTTCCCTCCCTTCGCGACTGGCAACGCGAATCGCGCGACAATCGCCAGGCACCTCGACAGGCCGCAGCTAGAGAGCACCACCACCCACCACCAACCCGCGCAGCGTCACCGGCCAACCATTTTGCATCCCAGGACGGCCACGACCATTCACCACAGTCCGCAACCCCAGCCGACTAAAGTACTGGACTTTACTTTGTCGACCATAGCATCATCCCCACGGTATTTCCCCCCCCGCCAAAAAAAAAAAAAAAAAAGAGAGGCCATGGCTTCGCCCGCCGTCGCCGCCCCCCAGGCGAACGGCGTCACGACATTGTCGCGGCCACAATCCCCTGCGTCCGTTACCACAGCCAAGCGGAAACGCGACGTCGACGATGACAGCGGCCCAGAACTCAATGGTTCTGACACCGACGGCTCTAAACCAACCGTCAATGGCCTGCACACGGTCCGCGATAGCAAAGTACTCATCTCTGACTTTTTTACCACTCTACAAAGGTATGGATCGCATTTTCCCCCCAGCAATCTGTCCCACATGGCCTTGTTTCCCCCATTGTCCATGATGGCGATCTGAAAATGTGTCTCATCGCTAGTCGGCCATTGAGTGCAGACTACTAACAATACCATGTCTCTACAGTTTCGATATAGGCAGCCATCCTATTCTCAAGCGCCCTTTACTTGAGTCTCACTCCGACGACGACCCTTCGCCGCCAAAGAAACCCAAATCCGAAGACGGAAGCGCGCAACCCAGCATCGCCGACAAGATCAGCCAGAATGCCTATAACACTGTGGACGAGCTCGTTTCCGACGTTGTCGGAGCAGCAAAGGCACAACTCGCCGAACTTGAATCTGCGAGTTCCGAGTCCGACGACGGCTCAACCGACGAGGCCATCGCGCAAACCGCAGCCTTCCGGACCAAGGCGTTGGAGCTGTACAGGCGGGAGATGGCATACCCCCATGTTCCTCGACATGTGGCCCCGAAACCAGACCTGAAGGAAGCAATGAATGGCGGCATGGGTGGGCTTGTCCTGACTACTGTTGGCGCCGCACCAACAGTCAGGCCTCTGTTCACCAGCCTTCAACGAGCGACAGCTCCCGGCGGGGTTGCAAAGTCACTTCCGGAGGGATCGTTGCCGCATGGCGTGACGGCCACGCGTATACTGCCCGAGTTCACGGCAACAACCGACAAAAACACTCGTTCTTTGACCCTAGGAGAGCTCTTCCCCTCTCCCCGAAATCTGCCCCCGCTGCAGCCTCCCAAGGCGCCAAAGAATATCACCAAGGGCAACGTCCTAACTTTCTACCACCCAGAGCTTACCGAAAAGTCCAGGTATCGGAGCGGCACATACTTTACACAAAATCTTGCTACAGGGCATTGGCTAGATTACAGTAACGCAACACCGACCACCCATGCCCGGTCGAAACAACGAGAGCGAGCCCAGAGTTTGGCGGGTCACCGGCCGTCTTCTACTGAGCTCGAAATTTCGGAGATGGAAGCAATGTTTCGCGGCGCATTCTCCAGTTTTGCCCCATGCAAAGATGACTCGGCTGCCATCATCCCTTCTGGTCAACTTGGCCGCATATGGTGGCAACGTATCGGGCGGAGGAATTTCGAAAAGCTTGTCGATGTGGATGGTCCGGAAGATGGAAATGTCGACACGACTATGACTGGTACGGATGAGGATGTCGAGATTGACGAGGAGCTCGTCAAGTCCGCCATCGAAAATTGGGATGACAACCTGGTTGACCCTAGCTTGGAGGAGCTCTTGGGTAAAAAGTCCACTGAAGAAAAGGAGATGGATGACATGCTCGAAGAGGTGTCGGATCTGATCGAGACTTTGGCATCCTATCAGCGTAACAGGAATCTCACGCTCCCTACCAGCCAGGATCGGTATTCGGCAGATCCTGTCAACGCGGATATGCTTCGCAATGGCAACCTGTCTCACCAACCCAGCGAGGAGGAAATGATGACGTATCAAGCACTGAAAGCTCAGCTTTCCAGCATTGTTCAGACCTTGCCGCCATATGCGGTAGCTCGGCTCAATGCTGATAAGCTTGGGGAGCTTAATGTGAGCACAAAGATTGAAATTCGCACGGACGAATACAAGGGTGTTATGGAGGAGGATGAACAGGCTCGTCTTGCCAGGCAGGCTGCGGCAACAGCCGCAACCACAAATCAGCGGCAGCAGCAGAGGGGTAGCGTTTCCGGCCCGGGCCAGTTCGCCCATCAGTATCCCGGTCAGTTCACACCTTCGGCCCGCCCGATCGCAAATGCCCAGCATTTCCCCCAAACCCCAGGCCGCCCTAACCCGCCCATGTACCAACAACGGCCACCCTCGGCGGTACCCATCCCCCAGGTGCTTCCCCAAAGTCAACAACGTGCGCCTCCTCCTCCAGCATCCTACCGACCGCCGACCAACTACGGATATGCGCCGCAGCTGGCAAAGGCGCCTGCCCCTTACGGACAACATAACGTGCCCGGTGGCTATGCGCCGAGCCCACCTCAACCTCGTATGGCGCCGCACCCCGGCCCCGGTTACAATATGGCGCCGGCCGGCCCCCCGGGTCAGCGGTACCCACCTGGATATCCGGGGCCCCAGGGCTACCCACAGCACCAGCCCATGCACCCCCAACATGTTCAACATCCTGGACCCCCGCAACATCCTTCTCCCCACATGCAACAGCATCCACAACAACCGGGGTTTGCGCCGCCTTATACTAATGGTGCACCCATGCCCCGGGCTATCACTCCACAAGTCCCACCCCAGACGCCGCACCACTATGGCCCAACTCCCACCCCAACACCGCCGCCGCCGCCGCCGGGACCACCGCAACAGCACCAGCAGATGCAACGTGGACCCTATGGAACCCCCGGGCAGAGTATGCCGCCTCAAAACATGCAACCCAACAACATGCAGCGTCAGTATGGAGCCGGATCTCCTCCTATGATGCCGGCGCCGCAGAACATGAACCGGACACCCAGCCTAACCGGCTACGCGACCGTGATGCCCGAGGTACAACAGCGCCAGGTGATGGAACAGGCGAGGGCGAGGGCAGATGCGGAACAGCGTGCTAGTGGACACATGGGCAAGGTCGCCCAAGGCGAGGTTGTTGGCCTCGCAGGTATCGGCCTCGGTGGTAACGTTGATGTCCACAAGATTGCTGCTGCCAAGGCGATGCAGATGGGCGGTCCCGGCGGTGGTTCGGGTCAAGGGCAGGTAACTAACATGCCGCCCAGCCCCAAGCTTCCCATGCACGGAGGGCCAAGCCCGGTGAATGGTGTTACCCCTGTTCCCGTTCCTGTTCCTTCACCTATCCCGGCTGCACAGCAACAACAGCAACCGCAGCAGCAGCAACCACCACCACAACAGTCTCAGGTACAAACGCAGCAGCAGCAGCAACAGCAGCAAATGATGTCACAACCACAGCCTCAGCAGCAACAGCCGCAGCTACCCCAAAGCGGCGGACCTAGTCCAGCTCCTCCCGCACAGCAAGGTTTTAGACCCCCTTCTGCATAGGAGCAGATGTGGATGAATCCAATGAACGTTAGGAATGGGTGGTGAAACTGTGGTCGATAGATGTTGAGACGGCGGGGGTGAATAAGTGTACGAAGGTGGAAGAAGGAGAAGGAGAAGAAGAAAGGAAGAAGAAGGAAGGATACGAAAAAAAGAAGAAGGAAGGAAGGAAGGTCACAAAGTTTAGATCAAGCTTGTTTAGTAGTAGTAGCACATTGATTGCTTACGCACATAAAAGCGCTTATCCAATATTCGCGCTGGGTCTCTTTTTTTTCTAATTTGCTGTCTTGTCTTTACGCACACAGAGGCTTTATCTTACACACAATTTGGGTGAAGTGAGAGGAAGGTGGAAAGGGGGGGAAAAAAAATATCAAGAATAAAGCGGATAGGTCAAGGGTGGTATTGGTGGGATCGTGAAGCGGGAGGTATAAACAAGGGGCAGGAAAGTAGCGAGACAGGCCTGAAGGGGGTTGTATCGAACGAGGAGAAATGGAGACAAGAAGAAGACAAGTTTGAAGAAGTAGGAGGGTGGAAAATAAAGTTAGAGGAACAGTGTAACCAGAACGAAACTGAAGTAATGGGGATTATGAATCTATTATGTATGTATTTGTTATGGTGCTGGTGGCTTGTAATGAGGGCAATGACACAAATACGCTGCCGTTGTGTGGAGAATAAGGAGGGGATGAAAGGATGGATGGATGGATGGATGGATAGCTTATTAGGTCTATTATCATTATCATTTTCTTTTCTCTTGCACACTCTATATTGTCTTTCCTTCATCTTTAACCCTGAAGAGTGCTAGAATTGAGTGGTTGGTAAATCCTTTTTCCTTCGCTTTGGTTTTTTTTTCTTGTCCTCCCCACTTTAGTTCGGATTTTTGTTTGGTGTTTCTTAGATCTTGGATCATAATTATTTAGACTCCTCAATATGACTTGTCAAACTCCGCTGTCTTGCTTTCGCTTCTGTCAGGGCCAGGTAGGGTGGCCTTTTTGTTAGGTGTTGGGGAAAAGTTAGTTTATGTCGGGTTTGTAGTATAGTTTACGTGAACCCTGGGAATGGAGAAAGTGATTAGCCTATGTGATGTTCATGAGCAAGAGCATGTTATGCCATATTTACTGAGTTAAAAGCATATTCAATTTTACTTTTATTTATCTAGGCTTTATCTAGTTTATGTGGTTTCATACAGCAGTATACATATGAGTTGGGTATCATTTGGTGACCATCGTCTTTCCGTCTAACGTATCTCCTTTCCCGAGGGCTAGACTACCTCTTCAGTCTGCCTGTGTCATTTCGACGACGACGAGCCCACAGTTTTACCACCACCATTGGCCTTCAAAGCCTCAAGGGAGTCTCCAATTCTCCTCAACTCCCTCAACACATCATCCTCATGCGTCTCAAACCTCTCCATCCACAACCTCCTCAGCTCAAACACCACCTCAATCGCAATCAAGATAATAATGATCCACTCCAACCTCGTACTGTGTTTCTCACTCGACATCTTTTCCGAAATGTCCAGCACCTCCTGTGCCACCTTTACGACCTCCTGCGCATACGTCATCTTGTCGTTCAACGTCTTGATCCGCACCCCGACATCCAACGCTTTGCCGATCTTACTGTAATACGTCTCCAGCTTTTCCTCGCTGTCCCAGAAGATATCCGGCAGCGCGTCGGTTAGGTCGTTGTAGTGGTTCAGTTGGCTGCGGAGGTTCAGCAGTTCACCGGTCTTCTGGAGGATGAGTTCCCTGCTAAGGGGGGCCTTGAGGCCTTGCGAGAGCTGGTCGGGAATGTGCCGTGTCGATTCGAGATAGCGCGTCAGGCTAGATTCCAGCACAGCGAGTTTGGTAGAGCGCGCTAGACCCGAGGAGAAGGCGATTTTGGCAAGGGTGGTGTCCAGCCGATCACCCGCCTCAACCTCGCGGCGCGTGCCGAGGACGACCACGTCGCCGGAGACTTTACTTTGTTCCTCGGTCGGGTCGGTGGTGAACTCGAGGTCTTCCTCCTCCTTGTTTTCTACAAAAGGCGATTCGGCAGCGGGTATGAGCAAGCGTGTCGCGAGCGTGTCGACGACGTCAGGGGGAAGGGCCCAGGTTACGATGGTTCCCGAGGGAAAGACAAAGATGTCCCCGTGGTTGAGCCCGCGGGCATGGACCACTTCGTGGATGTCGAAGCCTGTGTTGTCGGGGTCGAGAGAGAAGTTGTGGCTGGTCAAAAGAGAGACGACGGCGTCCATGTCGAAGGACTCGGCGACGCAAACGGCCGAAATGGTCGAGCGGCCGTCGGGCTCGGTGGTGTGTTCGGGAGCAGTGCTGGCGGGAGTCGACTTGGCGGGGACGCCCTTTTGGGCGACGATGGCGACGCGGTGAAGGGAGTTCTTGAGTGGGAGCTTGCGCTTTTGGGCGGCGGGGGATTTCTGTTGTTGAGATGTCGTGGCATCTTCGGCGGGAGAGGGCTTCTGGGCGGTAGTGGAAGAGGGAGATGGAGAGGGTCGCGAAGGCTCGTTGCCATTTTGTGCTAGGAGACTGTTGGAGGTGAATAAAGTGCGTCGTCGTTGCTGGCTATGCGAAGTGGTGAGGTGGAAAGGTGGTTGCGGTCGGGTGGAAGTGCCAGTGGCAGTGAGGCCAGCCAGTCCTACGACGCCGGAGATGCCCCGGACGGCGGCCGGTCGTTGAATCGGCACCATAGATCTCATGATGACGGAGCCATTGACTGTGTGTCGTGGCTAGTGTGGGGTGGTGGTGGTTGTTGACAGATCGGCGAGCGGCAGGAGAAAAGACTGGACTCGATGGAGAAAAGATGTCGATGGTGTCACGGTTCGTTCAATTTACTCCGATCATCTGTTTACTCGCGGTTCGGCTTCTCGGGTGCAAACTAATTTTTGGTAGGGGTACCGCTATGCAGTGTTCTCAGACGCTACGTCACTTTAGCGATAAGGAGCTTATCAGAGCAGCGCCAGGGGTAGGTACTATACTGCATCCACTGGAGCTTCAGTCCCCCCAAATCATCCAATTCCGTACTGTGTCATGTTTGTAACTGTAAACTGAGTGCGACATACAACATTCCGTCTTCTTTCAAGTCAACAAGGCACCCGACGCGGGCTCAAAGATCACCGGCATAGAAACAACAGCTTCTACAGCCGCGCATAGCGTCCAGACACCTACCATGGAGTTCGACATCCGAGTCGAGGATTACCTCGACGACAAGCTCCAATCGACGACCGACTTCGACCATCTAGACACGTTGCTCAACAGCGTCGAACACCAGCGCAGCCAGCTCCAGTCGCAACTCGACAATGCCACCAAAGAGCTCGAGGAGGCCCGCCGCTCTTCTGCGGAACGCCAGGCCGCCCTTGCCGCCCAAATCGACGAGTTCCAGAAACTGCAGCAGAGCATCGACGTCCGCCTCAAGATCGTTGCCGCCTCCGACGCCCCTGATGAGGCCATTCGCCGTTTGGAGCAGCCCATGAAGCAGCTTCACAAGGTCGACCTCGCCCACCGATATCTGCTCCTTCTCCAGCATGTCCAGGAACTGCGCAATGCCGCCCGCGCCCACCTACCGCAGAGCCCCAAGGCCGCGCTCGAGCCCTACACCGAATTGAAGCAGCTGTCTTTGCGCCTGAGGGAACTCCAGGGTGCTGCCGATGGTGCCGCCGTTCATCTTGTTGCTCATGTTGAGTCTGTTGCCGAGGCACTATGGGATGAGATGAAGAAAACAATGTGGAGCGAGCTGGAGGTCTTGTTGAAAAAGCGCGGGTGGCCCAATGTCGATCCAGAGTCGGAAGTGGACGACGAATGGATTCAATGTTTCGAGAAGCTGGTCGACCTCCAGGTCCCCGAGGTCCTATACTCGCCCACGCTGGTGACGCTTCTTCCCATGGATGTCATGGCGCAGATCTTCGTCAAGGAGTTCCGGTTCCACTTCCTCAGCGACAAGCCGACCAGCAACCCCCAGGGCATCAACGCACATTGCTTCCCCTGGTTCCTGTCCTTGCTCGACAAGTGGGAGATCTTCTTTAGGGAGAACTTTGCCCCCGTCTTGGCGGCCAAGTTTGGCCAGACCGAGGTTTCGAACAAAATGGTTTACATGGATCCCGGGTGCGCTTTCATCGCCTCAATGCTACCGGTCATGCGCGAGAAGGTCAATGTGACCATGGAAGAGGCCGTCAAGGATCCTTCTTTCTTGAGCAGTCTTCTCGGACAGCTGATGACCTTTGACGATAACATCCGATCTGGGTACAGCTACGACGGAGGCGATGCCGAAAACGGGTGGGAGGGATTGACGGGTGAAGTTCTGAATACGCACTTTAGGACATGGCTCGAGGCAGAGAAGAAATTCGCTCTGGAAAGGTTCAACGGAATTATGACATCTAGTGACGCTCGGAAAATTGACTACGACTTTGCGGTCGCCGGGAAAACAAAACCCACCTTCGCAGCTGTCCGTGTTGCTGACTTGCTGCGGTCGGTTACAACGCAGTATGAGAGGCTCAGACGCTTTTCCCACAAACTTCGCTTCCTGATAGATATTCAGCTGGCCATTTTGGACGATTATCATGATCATCTCAAGGGCACACTTGAAGCTTACCAAACGATGACTTCCACGGTTGGTAGAGCCTTTGTTGGTGTTACCAAAGAACAGTTGGCAGCTTTGGAGGGTACAGGGGCGCTTGAGACCCTGTGTAAGGTGTATGGAAGCGCCGATCACATCATTAATGCCTTGCATGATTGGAGCAACGAAGAGGTAAGAGAGATCTGTTTTCGAAAGTCGCAATGTAACGATGCTAACATGCAACAGTTCTTTGTAACACTATGGGAGCAGCTCCAGACTCGAGCCAAGGCCAACGAGGATCAGAGTAATCTTGCTGGTGGCATGAGCTATGATCATGTCAAGGATCGCATTTCTTCGGTAGTCGGCACCGAGGATGACACTGGCGTTCTCTTCGATGAGACCATCTCGGCATATACCATGAGGAGGAAGCGCGCTCAAGAGTTCCTCACCCAGGTCCTCATCCAGAACCAGAAAAAGGCATTTGCCGCCTATCTTAAACGTCCTCAGTGGAGTACCATCTCGGATGAGCCTACCTCTGGCGAGGCATACTATCAGTTGGCTCCTACAGCTGAGCTGGGCGAACCTCTCGCAGTGAGTATTCATTTAAATCAAGGCTATAACCACTCGCTAACAGAAACTCAGGTACTAAAACGCGACCTCGACTTCCTCTCCCACGCCCTTGGCACAGCCGTCTTCAGGCGCATCTGGCGTGAAGCCCTCGAGGAGCTCAACAACATGCTGTGGTCCGACGTGCTCATGGCCAACAAATTTGCCGCGTCTGGCGCCGCCCAATTCAGGCGTGACGTTGATGCCATTTCCTCCGTCGTCGAGCGGTACATCCCTGATGGGTCCATTGCTCTCGAAAGCATCAAGGAGGCGCTTCACCTTCTGAACTTGCCTGTTGAGGCGCCCGAAGAAAACAGCAACACCATGACGCTCAAGAACGCGGTGGATAGGGTCTTCACTGATAACACGGAGGCGAAAAAGGTGCTGGAGGAGTTGGAGATTGAGAGTCTAAGCCCGCCGCATGCTAGACAGATTCTGCAGAGGAGGGTGGAGAATGCTGAGTGAGGGGGATGTATTGTGATACCCAGACTGTGTAAGCATTGTAGTGCTACTTTGGAAATAATCTACATCGTCGATGTCTATGGCTTCGATCGTTGCCAACGGTATTCACTATGAACAATGTAGCATAACTGCCTCTGTACAAGAATATATCGGCTAAATTCGTACGGCGATGAACAGTTGAAGTCCACCGGGTCTCGACCCGTGTGTGATTCCCAAGCACGCCATCGACCGGGGCGCTTGCATTCGGCCCCACTCCGCCTTCGGGGCCCCGTATGCGGAGTAGCCTTTGATAAGCATATGCTCCATTGTTAGGGCGGACTTTAACACGGGGTACACGCATAAGCCGGGGCCCGAACATCGGCCCGTACACTACTATACATCCTCTACGGGAGGTATTGACGTCTTTGTCCATATTGTGACCTACTGTGTACGTGCAACACCATTCCATCTCGTGAGTCTCATCTCATCTTCAGAAACACACACAGACGTATGAACCAGATTGTCGGGTCACTGTCACCGTTTCTGGACTCGAGGTCCCTTCCCTGTCGTAGATTCGGCTCTCATTGATAAGATAAAAAGTCAACACTAGTTTAGTCACAGACCGAGGTCTTCCTTCTTTCAAGTCTCTTTCATCTCTCTCTCTCATCGTCGACTCACTTGGAGGCGGGTCAGATATCGGCAACGACACCATAAAAAAGCAGCCATCACAGTTTCTCAACAAAACCAAAAAAAGAAGTAATCAAGATAGAGAAACAATGGCTGCCTCCGCTGCCGATGTCGACTCCCACGACGGCCAGAACGCCGGTCTCCAAACGGCCAAGGATCTCTTCTCCGGCGCCGTTGGTGGTATTGCCCAAGTGTTGATTGGTGAGTTTCGCCCAAAAAATCTCTTATGATGGATAAAGACAAATCATTATTTATTTTCCCCCCGAATTGTCAAACTCAAACTAACCAAATTCCTTTTCCTTCCGGCAGGCCAACCCTTCGACATAGTCAAAGTCCGCCTCCAAACATCCACCCAATACTCCTCCGCCCTCACCGCCGCCGCCTCCATCTACAAGCACGAAGGCGCGCTCGCCTTCTACAAAGGCACCCTGACCCCGCTCTTGGGCATCGGCGCCTGCGTCTCCATCCAATTCGGCGCCTTCCACTCGGCCCGCCGCTTCCTCGAGCAACGCCGCGCCTCTACCGACAAGTCCTTCATCCCGGGCGTCTCCAACCTCGGGTACGGCGAGTACTACGCCGCCGGCGCCTTTGCGGGCGTCGCCAACTCGGTCATCTCGGGCCCTATTGAGCACGTGCGCATCCGCTTGCAAGCCCAGCCGCACGGCGCCGGCAGGTTGTATTCCGGCCCGTGGGACTGCGTGCGCAAGCTCAGCCAGCAGGCGGGCGGCGTGCTGCCGGGGTTGTACAGGGGCGAGGTGGTGACGGTGTTGCGCGAGGCGCAAGCGTACGGCCTGTGGTTTTTGGCGTTTGAGTGGTTGATGAATGCGGATGCGGCCAGAAACAAGATTGACCGCAAGGAGATCCCTAGCTACAAGATTGCTTTGTACGGTGGACTGGCGGGTGAGGCGCTTTGGTTGGGCAGTTACCCGTTGGATGTGGTCAAGAGTAAGATGCAGACGGATGGGTTTGGGGCAGGGCAAAAGTATAAGAGCATGAGGGATTGCTTTGCGCAGACGTTCAGGGCTGAGGGCATGAGAGGATTCTGGAAGGGTATTGGGCCGACGTTGTTGAGGGCCATGCCGGTTAGTGCGGGAACGTTTGCGGTGGTGGAGATGACCATGAGGGCTATTAATTAGAAGGATTCGGTTGACTGGGGAAGGGGGGTTAGGTATATCAGAGAGCAGAAGAAAAAGGGAATAGGCTCACTCCACTTGAGCGTTGTGGATGGGGACTGTGAGTTGGTCATGAGCAAGGAAAGGAAAACGGGATTCCATGGATCATAAGGATATACGGACAGATGGGAAATGGGCTCTTCAACGAGCAGCATGTTGCAATTACAGAACTTCTGGGGGGATATTTGGGTTTCAAAAAGCATACGGACCGCATTTAACAGCGAGAGTTGTTTGGTTTCTTCAGTATAGGGACGAAGGCAATGGTGGTAAGTAATCAAAATGTGTTTGACTTATCAAACTCGATATTAATGTTTTCCAGCTTTGCTCAGAGCCTACAAACCAAGTCCAACAGGGTCGATCAAGAAATATGCCACCTAGAGAACTGCGCTGCTTCATGCATTACATCCTCCGACTGCTCCCCTTACTAGCCCTACTGCCACCCGTATAGACACTTCCCTTGTCCTTACCAGTGCCGGACTTGGCACCACCAGTCAACTGCGCCTGAGCATCAAGCTGGATCGCCTCCTTCAACTTCTCCACCACCTCCGGCTGCGCAGCAAACGCCCCCTCCAGAATCTCATCCAGCTCCTTCTCCAACTGAGTCGAGTTCTTCCCGCCCACCGACGCCTTCACCTTCACTTCATTAAAGATGGCCGCCCACCTTCTGGTAAACGCATAAATGCTCTGGCGCAACAACTCATCCAACTGCTCTCCCGCGTCCTGTGACTCCGCCGCACCCGCTGTAGTCGTTGTCGTCAGGCCTGAACTCGAACCCGTAATGCTACCAGCTGCGCGCGAAAGGAGGGACGAGCCGGGAATGTAAGAACTAAAAGTGGACACGGAGCTGGAGACCAGTCCGAAGAGGTTACCGGCGGTCGGGAGGTTCTCCCAGATCTGGCCGAGGTGCTGGATGCTGCTGCCTAGACCTGTGGCTTGGCCGGTGCCGGTGCCGTTGCGCACGTCTCCGATCTCAAGGGTGAGGAGCTCGTTCTTAAGGATGAGGAGGTTCTTGATCATGAAGAGGTCCGGATCTGTACCGTTTTTGGCGGCTTTGATGCGCACTTCAGCGCGCTGAAGGGCGGCGATGGTCTCGCGGACGAGTCTGAAGATTACTCGGCTGCTACGTTGCTGGAATAGGCGAGAAAGTCCATGTTAGCTGGGTGATTTCGGGATGTGAAGTAGGAAGAGATGAGAGATCACTTACACATCGCTCCTTTGGCATGGATTGGTCGAACAAGACAAGCAGCTCGATTGCTCGCTTAACCACCGGGAAAGCCGTTGATGATCCGCCATCGGCGGCAGTGGTTGCTCCAAGCTTCAGAGCCTCTGGGGGAACGACGGCTTTGGTAATGGATTTGGTGATTTCTGCGTCGAAGAAGCCATCGGTAAATGTCCAGAGATGCTCGGCCAACAGCCTTGAGGTAAGTTCCCTGCAGTGCGCAACAAAAGGGGTTTCGTCCTCATCATAGTCCACGAGCAAATATTCGTTCGTAACCCATCCAACAAGGTTGCAGATGGTTTGCAAATCACATGCCTGTAGCTTTGACTGGAGGTTGGTGGCAATGGGCGAAATATTTGTCCCTGTGACGAGTGACCGCTGATGCGAGTTGAGGGCAGCGAACGCCGACTTGGGGTTGGGTGAGTATGGTGCTTCTATAGAGAAGATTTTACGGAAAAGCGTGGCCTCGCTGAAGGACCGTTCAAAGCACTGCTTCACGTAGTTCCTTGCCGCCGTGTCTATTGATGATTCTTTGCACTCGAGATGGAATGTCGCAAGATCATGCTGGGTCAGAGGCTTGAGGTCGCGGTCTCTCACCGCGAAATAGGCGTGGAAGAGATTGTTGGCTGTGTTGGCAAAGATATCCGCGTTTGGCCCAGTCCTGGGCTGGCCATTTTGGTCATATGCTCCCAGTATCACTCGCTGGATGTTGGGTATGAGCGAATAGGAGTTCATTAGGATCTCCTCAAACCGACCATAAGCCAAGGCATGTCGTGCGGATTCTGACTGGGTGTTGGTGATTTGACGAGCAAGTTCCCCAGACACCTGATCCAGGCGGTTCGTAAAGCCGACCTCGAGAAGGTGTAGGGCCTTGGTTAGAAGCGCCTGATATCTAGCCTGGTATGTATCGGCGTCCCGATATTGAGGATGCTGGATCATGAACTCGATACAAGAGTCCAGGTTGGCCAGGATATCGCCAAACGCGTCGTCGTCCACAAGGCGGCCCGCACCCAGGGCATTGAGGCGCCGGCTGACACTGTCGAGATAGGCGTAGTAATGCAGATCAGTCCCGACCTCGTCGGCGAGAGTTTGAAGACGCTTCTGCTCCTCCAGCAAGTCGTCGCACTGTGCCTTGAAGGATGTCGTCTGCTCCTCAACGGCTCGGAAAGACTGGCACAAAGTCTCGAGGGTTTTGAGCGCGCTGTTGGCGTCGTCGATCAGGGTTCCCAGATGCCGTTCCGTCAAGGCGAGTTGGTCATGGTACAGGAGATATTCTTGCTGGCTAGCCTGTAGCAGCTCCTGGTCCAGAGCATCGTCGTAGGGGTCTTCTTCCACAGGTAGCGTCGATGCCACGCTCGCGGGAACCATCAAGGCATCCCAGAGGTTGTGGTTGTTTCGCCGCCCATTGGTCTTCTTCTTGTTCTTCTTCGTCCTGGGTCCTCCATGGCCGCCAGCGAGATGCGCAGTCGCAATGTCGTAGAAGTCGGAATAGGATTTCGCCCGTCGAAGAACGGTAGCCTCGGGGGGCGCATTGACGTCTTCCTGGTCTTCGAAAAGCGCTGGGAGTGGCTCTTCGGGGATGTTGTTGTCGGTGGTCTCCTATCGAGTGGTGATGCCAATGGTTGGGTTAGCGACTACTGACTGTTGGGGCATTTGTAAACAAGGGGAAGGTGAATGAATGCAAGACAAACAAACCTCTGGCTGCTGCAGCAGAGAGTTGGCTCGACGGTGGCGCGTCTTTGCGCCGGATGGTCTGCTCTGCTGCACCTCGGAGGTAAAGCTATACCAGTGCTCGTCGTACATGTTTTTGGAATTAGGATTAATGGACAAATTGCCCAGTGGTGATAGCTTCAGGTTGTACTGCCCATCGCGTGTGTTGATTTCCCCCCCTGCCTGTTTCCCTATCCCGTCATTCAAGGTAGGTACGTAGGTACCTTCCTCCCACTGCAACAGTGCAATGAGCTGTCCACTTTTGGGGATCACTGCAGCGATGGAGACATGGACAGTAAGTTCTGTATTATAGGCACAGTGCCCACCTAATCCGACGCTCAGTGAGAGAATTGAGCAAAGTGCACAGACCTCATCCTGAAAGCAACGATGGAGAACGTGAAGCTCCAAAGCTTCCATGGGGTCCAGTGGCCCCTCTCTCACGGGCGGGAGCTAACTGTTAATTGTTGCAGTGCTGGGGGCAGCTGTCGATCCGAGCTGAAGCTTAGCTGGACCTCCTCCCCGGATTCTCGCTTCATTTCTAGTCTAGTGACCTCACTATTACTTTTTGCATCTCATCGTGAAACTTGTGCTTTGGTGTTCTGTCCTCGGATCTTACTGCTTTTTATATCTGTAGCTGCGTGTGTGACAATCTATCCGAACAAATCACTAGGCCGCCAAAGCATGAAGAGTTGATCGCTTCTGATAGAGAACGAACTGCCGCCACTATCAAGTACGGTATAAATTCCAAGTGGATGCCGCCCCATTATCAGTTCCCTTCTCACAAACTAACCTGAACTATATCAAGCACCAGCCACCACCATGGCTTCCCCCATGATGCTTGCCAGGACCGCCCTCCGGCCACAGGCCCGGCGTATGATCAACTCGACACAATGGACGCGGAGTCTAGGCAGAAGATTCAGGCCCGAGCCGGAGCCTCAGCAAGACAAGTCGAATCTCGCCCTCCGCATACTTACCGGTGTCCTTGCGGGTGGCCTTGTTGCCGGTGCCGCCATGGCCGCGTATCCCATGCTCACGGGCGGAAACAAGAAGGAGCCCATGAAGGTTGAGCTGATCTTTCAGGAGCCTCGGAAACGGTCCATATCCGCCGAGGAGAGCCGCGAGCAGTTGAGCCCCCAGCACGTTCAGGTCAAGCACAGCTGGGAACATCCCGGTGTTTACGCATGGGGTTCGAATGTCGGTAAGGTCGTTGCCCCGGACTCCAACGAGCTTGTCATCAAGACCCCAAGGCGCATTGCCTACTTTGATGACCAGGTCCTGCGCGATCTCAAGCTGGACAGCAATTTTGGTGCCGCCATCGATGAGAAGGGAAATTTGGTCCAGTGGGGTGTGGGCTTCGACAAGGATCATTATAAGCCGACTGTCACCTTGAAGGGCAAGGACCTGGTCAAGCTGGACGTCTCCCGCGACCGTATCATTGGTCTTGCCTCCAACGGAGAAGTTTACTCGATCCCGGTGGCCGCCGCAGATCAGAGAGCTGGTCAGAAAGAGACCACCGCCTCCCCTTCCTCCCTCTGGTCTAGCCAGGCACCCGTGAACTACCGCCCCCTCACGCCCAAGAACCTGCGATGGGGTGAAAAGATTGTTGATGTCCGCAGCGGCTTGGAGCACTGCCTGATGCTCACCTCCAATGGCCGTGTCTTCTCTGCAGCCGCCAGCTCTGAAGATTTCCCTTCCAAGGGCCAACTTGGAGTCCCTGGCCTGACGTGGACCAACCGCCCGGCCGGACCTTACGACCAGCCTCACGAAGTCACCGGCCTAAGCGGCTCCAAGATCAAGGAGATTGCCGCCGGCGACTACCACTCGCTCGCCCTCGACACCGAGGGCCGCGTCTACGCCTTTGGCGACAACTCCTTCGGCCAGCTCGGCTTCGAGAATGACACCGAACACCCTTACGTTGACTCGCCCCGCCCTGTGCCCATCAACAAGCTCTACCACGGCACCAACCTTCGGCCCAAGGTGACCTACATCGCCGCCGGCGGCCCCAACAGCTTCTTCACCGTCGACGCGCGCGCCTTCCAAGGCCAGCTCGGCGGTGATGGCTCATCCGGCCAAGGCCAGATCGTGCCCGCCAAGGACCTCGGTCGCGTCAACGTCGAGACCTGGGCCTGCGGCGAGGGTATCCACGGCACCCTGGGCAACGGCAAGTGGACGCACGTCTCGGTTTGCCCGACCAAGGTCAAGGCGCTCTCGAACCTGTTCGAGTTCGACGAGGCCACGAACCAAGTGGTGCCCATCCGGCTGTCCCGCATGTCGGTTGGCGGTAACCACGCGTGCGCCGTCATGGACAACTTTACCTGCGTCGACAGCCCTCTCAATGGGAACGTCAAGTCGGACACGGACACCAACTTTGGCGCTGACGTGCTGTGGTGGGGTGGGAACGAGCATTACCAGCTGGGTACCGGAAAGAGGAATAACGTTAACACGCCTTCTTATATCGTGCCGCTGGATACGCCTACTCGTCGGGGACCTGCCCATGCGCAGGAGAACCGGCTGGTGCAGAGGGAGGGAGAGTCTAATCGCTTTCAGTTGACGCCGAGGAAGACGGTCAAACTGGATGGAAGATCGGTTAGTGTCGAGCAGCGCGCCGAGTGCGGGCGGGACGTTAGCGCTGTTTACTCTGCTGCTTGAGAGAGGCGGAGAGGAAGAACTGTGGTAGTTGTATGATAGGTACAGGCTTGTTTTTGGCAGTAGATTGATGAGGGGTGTTGAATGATGCGGTGCCGACCGTACATACGTGTATATGTTATAAAAAGGGGGTGAAGTTATTGGCCTAGTATGACAGCCAAGGAGGTCTGTATCACTACCTTTCGCATGATAGCATTGTTTAGTAAACATTCTGCTGCAAACTTTCGTATGACATTGTACAAGTAAGAGTGACCCCGAAGCGTCCTTGCAAACGGCTCCTTTTTTACCCAGCAGTTTTTCGAGCTCTATTTGATTCACTGATACGTATCAATCACCACTCACGAAGTTCTGTTTCGATGTCAAGCAAGCGGTCTATTTCTTTCCGCATTCGCACCTAGTGAAGTAAAGTGCACGGAATCCAATAGCTCCATTCTCAATCATTCCCTCCATACAGTTATCTCCAATATGCCGTCGTCCCTTCTGCAAACCAAAAACATCGATTTTACAGGCCTTGATCGACGATGTTGATTTCAGTCATCCTACCAGTCACTCGTACCTAGTTTCTCAAGGAACATAATAGCATTATCCCTAATTGTACAGCTTAATATAACTCCTTATGTACCAAATTTATTGCTTTTCACATGCGTCGTCGTCGTTACATTCCCATCCAAACCGTAACTACCTTAGGTTAACTAGTCCCCTCGCTAAAACGCAACCATAGATAACACAGTCTGAATTTCTTCGAGAGGACACTGCAGCATACTATGTAGTATATCCGCATCACCTCTTTTCAACCATTGTTTTCAATAATTTGGTTACTGAAGTTATCGAATTACCCAAGCTAACAGAGTGTTTTAAGTCGCTGATAAGATAGAAACATGTAGTAGTCGCTCGCTACTGATACTGTGAACTGTATGTAAGCAAAGCAAATCCCGTCCGTCGGTCGTTGCCCACGTTGCCCAAATTTGCCACCCTCCCCCCCCCCCCCCCCTGCCGCTGTGGTGCCGTGGTCGTTGCCGTCACCCGCGATACCTTCATACACGTGTACATACACTACAGTACAGTACCACACTCACTGCCACAGTACCATCACAATATTCACCCCCCCCGCGGCCCGCGCATCCCGTTGTCCCATGTGATGCCGCTCCTCCTCCCCCGCGTCTGTCTGCCTGCCTGCCTGCAACTCTCGTCTACACCACCTCTATGTACACTAATTAGGTAGGTACTCTAGTGCAGTGGATGTAGGTAGGGCAATGAAGGAGCCACTTTGGTTAGGTTTGGGCAGTTCCCAATCAAAATCCAGGACATACGTGTTAAACCGGATTAATGCAGTGTGATCCCTTAAGGTATTAGTGTAGTGTAGGTATAGGTAGGTAGTGTACACCACTGCATTCAGTGACGGGCAACCGGATTGCGACTGCCGCTGCGCTCATCAGGTGTCAGGGCATTGTACAGATGAACATCACTCACCAATGGATGATGGCCTAGAACAAGAAGATCGTCTGTGGTGGTGTTCACGGCGCAATGAAAGAGCTTGGCCTAACGTGACGCATGCAGAAAGCTTGCGGAGCATAATCTCCGCTTGACTTAACTGCCTATCCAATATCTGAGGTGCAGCGAGTGGAAACCCTCCCCAGAAAAAAAACAAAAAAAAAAAAAAAAAAAACACAATGAGGGTATTCCCACTTCCAATCAGCCCTACGGGATTTCCAATTCCCACGTGCCCATTCAGTTCCAGATCCGAACGTGCCGGATTGTTTTCTCCGCCTCGCGCGGTAGCCCTCTGCTATATCTGGTGTGGTGTAGATGACCACAACGATGACTGCACTACCCTACCCTTGGAGGTACCTTGCTATCTCAGCATCTTCTTCAACCATCCACCACCACCATCATAGGTTTGATCAAGTAGTGTAAAAGACCGAAAAGCATCGGTCAGACCGAACAGAACCGGATTGTTTGCTCCACTCCCTTGCCCTCGCTCCTCCTCCGGCGGCAACGTCGACGCTAGACGCCGACGCCTACGCCGACGAGGACAGTGACAATAACAGTGACGATGCCTCTTACAGCTTCACGACTGCAAGATCGAAGACTGATGATCAATGATCAGCCACCCCATGACCGGTTCGCTTGAAGCCGTGCCGGATGACCACCTACCAACCTAGCTTAGCTGAGCCCCGGGACCCGGGATCTGGACCCTGAATCTAGACCTGCAGTAGTGTACGCAGTAGTGTAATCATCAGTGAAAAAGAGGCTCGCTGAGCCGCCTCGGGTCCCCCAGCCGTCAGGCAACAACATCTGTCGATCTCTTCAGTTACTACCACTTCCACATCCCATCCCACCACGCCGAAAGCCAGAGGTACCTTTTGGGTACACCACATTAGTGTACTGACATGCTTTGCCCTTGCATGCCAGGAACATGTGAGAGTATTTCGCCACCGCCCACCAGCACGATCTTCCCGTTCGCAGCTCAACGTTGGCATCAGGGCGACTATTCCCGGAGGTGGATTTCGGAAAAAGAACAGAAAGAGAAATCCCACAAAAAAAAAAAAGGGAAGAAATGAGCTGCCCGCATAGGTACCGTTTAATGCCGACAACAATCGTCGTCCTCCCAATGATCGCTGTTCGGTTGGGTCCGTCGGCCGCTTCCTGTCACGTTGCTTTCTCCTCTCTCTTTTTTTTTTTTTTTTTTTTTTTTTTTTTTGTTTTTTTGTTTTCTTCCCCCCTTTCAACTTTTCGCCACGCCCTCCCCCTGATCCGCAGCCGCTGATTAACGTGTTCCGTCAAACCCACCCAGGTCAACCTAAATTCACCGTACCCACCTGCCTGCTACATATGGTCCGTCTGGTTGACAGGTACGTTACCCTCCACACCTGGACATGCATTGTCGGGTCCCGCTTGTTTTGCCACCGTCGTGGTTTCCCTGAATAGGTATGGATGTGTGTTTGGATATTTATGCGAACGAGATAGTGTAGACTACTTAGTCTCCTGGTGTATGTACAGTACTGTACTGCGGGAGCGTAGCGTAGTGTAGTGTGCTTAACCTCGCTAACCCGCTGGCATTGGAGTAGTCTGTAGTTATGGATTTCCTCAGGCGGGTATACCTGTAGGATGTATATCGATAGACGACAGCCACGAACTTCTGGAGCAGCAACCGCTGGTTCGGGGGGGCCTGGGTGCCCAGTCGCCGAGGATGCTTTTGTTTGATCATCAACTGCTATTGCCAGATTCCCAGAAATCTCTGTAACATCCATGGGTCGATTATACTCAACGGCTGATCGACATCTGTAAGCAATAGTGTAGAAGACTCCGGAGGATGAGGCAAATGAAGCTATTCGCAAAGCTTTAGGATGGGACGTGCGAGTGGCGAAAACCATGATCATCATCTTTCAACCGTCCATAGCAACATCCTCATTTGGCAACTCGAGAACTCTCGGGGCAGGCATATCGACTTCGGGGGAAGGAGATCGTCGAGCTAGTGATTGGCTGTGACTAACACGGGCATGTCTCCGAATAGTGGCACGGTGATTACTGTATACCTCAATTCTGATTTGCTTGTTAGGTGCGCTTCTTAAAGTAGGGCGCGAAAAGTGCGTAGTGAGATAGCACACTAACAGACAATGCAGGGTTGATATATACACCTGTACAACAATCTCATCAGCTCACGGAGGGAGCCACGGCCGCAATTGATTGGCTGAGAGTAGATGAAGATGGACTGTACAGTAATGGCATTGGATATTGGTACCACAAAGTTCGCAAGGTTTATAGGCTCCTAGGCACATATCGTCAGTTGTTTCCTTTCTTGAGCTACGTGTAGTGGTCTCAGGGGTCTCAACTAAACTTGGATATCGGGATGGCGGGAAAGCATCCGAGTGACGGGGCTCGCCAGGAACGATACCGAAGGCGGCAGATTGTCTCATCGGTATGGTCTCACGTGGTGAGGTGAGTAACAAACACATGCCCACCAGAAAGGTGAGGGTGACATGATGTAATGCGATGCTCAAGAAAGACGAGGAGCGAGCAAGGAAGGAAAAAAAGACAGCAATGTGTAGGCTTTGCAGATCCTGATCGATCGACGGATTATCAATGGACGGCCGGCGCATCGAGAGACTACACTATCGACGGCCACGGGGCACCGGGTTGGGCTACGGTCATACTACTCAATTAACTGGTCTTGCTAGGAATTGATCGCTGCAGGAGTCTTTGGGTGGAAATTACATATCCTCACGGCCCAAATCAGGGTCCTCAGGGATCGGCAGGGTGGTCTTCCTCAGTTGGTGTTTTTGTGCGGTCGGCTGCGTGTTGCAGTCAGTGTGCGGCTCCAAAACACTCCAATGTGCTACCACGAGGTGAGGGGATTCCAGAAAGGATGCCCACAGGGAGGCCGGGGCATCCGAGTTTCATCATACGGACGGAGTTACCCATGCACCAGAAGAGAAACGACGGTGAGATGGAAGTTGGTAGGGATCCTGGTGAGTTGGCAAAGCTACGTAGCTACACTACTTCTCTGCGTGGCTGGCTATGACCGTATATCGATGTGTTTCTGGGTTATCGAATACGAAGGTACATGGGAAGGGGCTATTGCGAATGTGGTTGACAACTGAAAAATGGAACAGGGAGAAGACCCGGATTCTTCGTGTAGGAGAATGACGGAATGAGATGGATAAGAGGTCAAGCCAACCCCCGTGGACGTTCAGTTTAGAGCCAAAACATCGTATGTAGTGTACATCATCCGTCAAAAGTGGAAGTCGGGCCCGGGCAGGATTTTCCTCCGAACCGCATCGCCGATGGCCGTTCGTGCTGGCATCCCTGTGTTTTATGCCTGGCAGTCTAGCTGTGTTAACTGCGTGAAGTGTCTGATCTTGGACCTCACTGCAGCGTCATTCCAAGACATTTTTGAACGCCTGCTCATATACCGCTAATATACACGAAGATCCAAGGGTCGACTTGGAGGTCACCAAGGTGACTCTTTATTACCAGACTTTCTTAGCATTTTTGATATTTGATCTTGCTACCGTCCCGTGAGTGCACACCTCTGCGAGTCTAGCATGGAGATAACTTGTTAGCGTGGTTTATTGGGGGTAGCAGAGAACCTCAGCTTCCACACAAGAAATGTCTTGCTCAGCACTTGTCTGGCCCCTGTTTCTTGGAGAACCAACGTATCGAGCTAACAAGTTATATCCGAACAGAGGTGTGACGTCATGCTGTGACCGTTAAGACTATCGTCTTGGCACCATGAATGAAAAAGGGTCTGGACCTGGCCAGGCGCGGCTGGCCACAGCTGTTTTCAGGTGACAGGGGCGCTGTACCAGTTGCGGAGCACCTGCGCACCCTGTCAAGAGCGAACTGTTGCCCGTACTTTGTTCTAGCAGCTGAAAGTTACAGGGACCATCGGCGGGTGCTCGCAACTGCGCTCTTGGACTTTCCACTTACACTACCATAGTAGTGTCAACGACGGACGTTTCCAAATTGATCTCTTCATCTTCGACATGTTTCCACCGTTCATGACTCCCCGTGTTTCTCCCAAGTAAATGCTGACAAAACCAAATTGCGAAAATCTGTCTCAGTGTCGGCTGGTGACAACCTCTCAAAGTAATGAGGAGACGGCATCGAGATCAGACGGCAGGTGGTTACCGGGAATGGCTTGTCACACATCATCAGTCAACCTTTTACCTTCTCTCTACGTGCTCTATAGCATTTGCACAAAGTCTCCTTCGAGATGCCCAGAAATCTGCACCTCAAACGGATAGCTGAGCAGTGGATGTTTGTCAGGGTCAACATGAACTTGTACCGCATCTTTTCCACTTGCTGCCCGTCATCAGATCCAAAACCTCAAAAGGCATGACATGACGGACGACTGGAGACACTGCGAAAAGCCGTCACCATCTGTACGATGTGAGAGAAACAGACGTGGTGCGCCAGCCGGAAAAGCTCTCTTTATGTTGTTGCTGAAAAGAGAAGAATACTTGGCAATCGATACCTGCCGGCATGGTGGCCTGAATCTCACCACCACCAAAAACACGAGGCTTCGCGGTCTCCCGCTGAATCTCGAATCTGTTAAAAATGCGAGCTCTCCACCACCACCACACATTTCCATACGGGGCACACACGTACCTACCAAGATTATGCAAAACCGTTGGAAACCCTTATTTATCGCGGGGCATTTCAATGAGAATTAAGGGTTCAACTCCGCCGCTTGCCAAATGCAAAATGTAGGGGTTTTCCATGTGGAACCATGGTCGCACGTCGGGGTACTTTCAGGGTTCGTAGGTAATGTACTCTGCGCAAACCGTTTTGTGAAGGCATTTTGGGAACACAGTTTGTCGAGTTGCCGCAACTCCCGTTTCCGTCTTGACTTTTTTTTTTTTTTTTTTTTCTTTTGTCATGGGTGAGGCCATTCAAGCCAAGCTCGTGCCCACATCCCCACAGGTTCCAGAGTTTGGCCGGACAACCAGTACGGTGCCCGAGGCGTCCTGATGCCGCTGCAAGACCGATGACACTGCAAAATTGAGATCTGGAGGCTCAAGATACTTTCGGTCGAAGCCCCACCGCCGCGACCTCCTGTGCTACCTTTCCCGCCAGGCTGTTGTGGAAAGTCACTGTAGCGCACCCCTTTGCGAGCAATGACGTTAGATGATGTGGGACGTTGCTCAATAGGCCCACCCCGCGTGGCGTCAAGGTGGAGCCGCCCACAATCCTGAGCGCAGCCGGTGATCCTGATAACCGACGAGACGGGTGCGAATGGAGGCACCTTTTAGCCAGCAAACTGCGTGCGCTCGGGGTTTCCGTCCCTCACGTTTTCCTTGGATTGCTTGCGAGTCAGGCGCACGTTCTCTCTCGCTCGGTCATTGATTGATGCAGATTCCCGGCGAGCATGCTGATTGATTGATTGATTATGCTTTGAAGCGAACCATCCGGATGTGCTAGGTAGGGGATTCCAGACGAGGTTATGACCGTTGCGACGGGCGGGGTTGCGTTGAAAATCTGGTTACGAGGTCGTCGCTCCTGGTTCAGAGTTGCCAAAGAGTGAGAGGCCAAGTGAGCTGCTGGTAGCCAGGTAGGAAACTGCATTCATGAGGTGGAGACGACAAGCACAGATTTAAACTTACCCACAACACCATAGCAATACATGGTGGGTTAAGAGGATTTCAAATTTTATCGAGCCGGGCGGGGTGAACAAAGCGATTCAAGGTGTTCCTGGCCTCTAACAAAGAACACCTGGGCTCTCCCCACCGGGCGCTGACATTGTCGGCCCTGGACGATGGCTTTTTGGCAGAAACATGAGGGAAAAGACCGGTCAATTGAAGAGATGAAGGGCGAGAGCTGCTAGTCATGTCCCCAGCGTTTTGTCGTGAGGGCTTTGCGGCGAAGACAAAGTGAGAATCAAGTCGGGGAGGTTGATGGATGGGGAGCGGGCCTACAAGTATCTCTTGATCCTCTGGGGACCGGACGACAGCTGGCCAATTAGACGGCGGTCGCAGAGGACCCTGAACTTTTCGATCCCCTGGAACCTGGGCAGTGGTGAGGATCGGGGCGATTCCTGTGCATCTGTGGGAAAGTGAGCAAGAGAGCACGACGCGTGCCTCTATTCGCAACCAACGTAAGTATGTGCTCCGGTCCAGTCCCCTCGTCCCCTCCTGGCCCTCCCTCCCCTTTCCACGCCGGCCCCAGTCTGAATCTTTACACACTCCATTGCGAAAACGGCATTGGATGAAATTATCTTGATTACCCAAACTACACAGAAACACACCCGCACCCTCACTCACCTGACCGCCCGCAAACACACTTCGACCCGGAATTCGATTGTCGATTGCCTCGGGCTAGTCGTGTACTTTGTCAGTACCTCCATCTCACCCCCCTGCCGCAGTGCTTCACCCCATCACACAACCTAAAGTCCGGTCCCATCCACCCCAGAGGAACCAGAGCGTAGCAGTGTGGCGGATTGACAGGCCCCAACACTGGCCTGTTAAGGTACCTGTAGCCCACGCCAACAGACCTGTTCCAAAACTTGGCTGTATAGTCATTTCTCCGTTTATCCTGCGATAACTGCAAATCCGAACGAAACCGTCTTTGCTGCATCGCATCCACTTCGCACACCAAAGAAACCCTCGCTGCAGAAAAAGCAGCAGCTATCCAAATCCTCAAGTCAAGCACCCGGGCCTGAGCTCCAAAGGAAACCCCAGGGGGGGACTGCCGATCTCTCCTCAATTTTGGCCTGGCTATTGCGACTATACCACCACCGATTCTTACGACGTGTTAACGGCCTTTCTCTGTTTACCTTCCAACGCCAACCATACTCTCAACTGGACCCAGGAAAGCCCAGAAATCAAAGGTAAATCCGACTCAACTTTGCCTATATCGCAATACCCCCTTTGTTTTCCACCTGTTCCTTTTTTCCCCATCCATCCGACAAACTCCCTGTTCCTGAAGCAGGAACACTCTCAACCTACCCACGGCATCTCATCCATTCTCACCACCTATCTTGCCCAAACCACCTCACCGGCGTTCATGTCCGTCTCCGCGAGCTTCTGACTCGACCCTCTTCTTTTCTTGGTTGTTTCAACACCTCTCCTCCTCCCCACCGCTCAACGCCCTCGTTCTGTTTGTCGCTCTTTTCTTTCTCTATCTTTGCGCCTCTGTGTCGAGATTCCCTCCTCTTCTCTCCCTCATACCCAACAATCGTCGAGGTAGCCCAAGATTGTCGCTGCTTGACCGTGTATTTCACAGAGTCTGGACAGAAGCACTTTCGTTTCGCCACCACCTTTGCTCTCTCCCGCTCATGTTTGTTGATTTCGGGACTCTAATATTCATTGTTGCCCGTTCTAGCGTGCTTCTTCACCATGGCGCGACTGCCCCCGGATAGTGCTTCCGACACACCAGGGGGGCTTTCATGCTGCCAATCTCGAACCTCATTAGTGCCTTGACCGAGAAAATTTTGCACCGTTGTTGCTCAGTTTTCTAACTTAGCTTGCTCGCTCTTTAGACACCCGAGACATCCCCCCTCGCTTCTGCCTGCCGGTCTGCGGCTTCCATAGTCTCAGGCCTCGAGGGCATCCGCCCAGCTCAAGTGTCGTAAGGACACGCACACAGCCGTATCATGAAAAGTCCCCACAAGCTGCTCGAACGTGAGTAGCATCGCAGTCTTCTGACGAAGATCTGATAGGGTGAACATGGCGGATAGTGGGGATAAATCCCAGGGCATGCGCCCGCCACCCTTTGACAGCCGTGGTCACCCTCTCCCCCGACGTGCTTCCCCAGACAAATCAATAACACTTGAAAATCACCGCCTTGGGCGAGATGCTAGCAGCAGAGTTACTTCATCTTCCGCACTGGGAGTGATCGAATCCCAACCCCAACTCAGGAGCTCGCCCACCCGAAGGAATTCGTCTGGAGAGAGTGAGCCCACGAATTGGTTTGATCAATCCAATCGTAACCCTGCCGCGGCCTTTCATGACGAGAGCCACATCATGGAAGTCGATCCTCCTTTTTATCAAAAGGAGACTGACTCTTCCAACGAGGAATCTAGGTATCCGCCTGGACGAAACCCCGTACATCCGCCCGGTGGTGTCCAGTTACCCGGGTTCCGCCCGGTTGCTGCGCACAGCAGCGCCGCCGATGACTACCGCAGTGTCATTGACGACTTGACTGTCGAAAACAAGCGGCTGAAGGAGGAACTGAAGAGGTATAAGCAATTTGGTTCCGACGTGATGAGGAAAGAGAAGTTGTTTGAGATCAAGGTACATGGCTTACCTAGAAGAAAGAAACGTGAGTTGGAGGCAACGCTCCGCGACTTTGCTGCCAGTCTCGGGGACTCGAGCGAATCGACATCGCAGAGGAGAAAGACTGGCAGACATGGAACGGCCGTTCACTCGTCTGGGGTATCGTTGTCGAAACACGATTCGTCGTCATCGTCGCGCAGTCGTCCTGTCGATTCTGCATACAACTCTATGTCGACGGGCCGTAGCTCTCATGCGCCCCACTCTTCCGGTCCGTCGCTCGGACGACCTTCGCTGACCAGGGCAAAATCCGTCGGGACGCAAAAGGTAGAAAACTATCTGCGCGACACGCCCGATGGCCTGCTTCCTCACCATATTGTCATGACCGACAAGGAGAAGAAGAAGCTGGTTGTCCGACGCTTGGAGCAACTGTTCACTGGAAAGATCAGTGGACGAAACATGCAGCGCAACCAGTCGATGCCGAGCATGGATGCACCACTCGCGCCGGAAGGAACCAACATGGCTCCCCCTCGCCCCCCTCCGGAAGGATTGCGCGAAGCTTGCATCCAACTACAGAATGGAGACAACCCGCAGAAGAACCGTTCCTCCAAAGACAATGGTTCTGCATCCAACTCGGGTGGCGATCAAACCGAACTTGGCGGAACTGGGACTGGAAGCGGAGATGGAAGTGGAAGCGGCGGTCGCACTGGTAACAACACCTCGCCCCCGGGAGCTATTGCGCCGGACCAACGGCCAACCAGGCCCCGCGATTTGGACCCGGACCGAGTCCAGATCCCATCCGAGAATATGGATTACATCCGTCATTTGGGCCTGGTATCTCCCGAATTCTTGCAGGGAAGCCGGACCAGCTATCAAGATGTCGCTCCGGATGCGGAGGGCTGGGTATATCTCAATCTGCTTTGCAACCTCGCCCAACTGCACATGGTTAACGTAACGCCGAATTTTATTCGCCAAGCTGTCTCTGAAAAGAGCACAAAGTTCCAGCTGTCTGCTGATGGTCGGAAAATCCGCTGGCGTGGCGGGACCGATGGAACCAAATTCAGCAGCGACAGCAGCGAGGACAAGTCCCAGAAAAGCCCTCTGACAGAAGATACCGAGGATGGCTCGGATAAGAATGGTCGGAGGAAGAAGCGGAAAACGCAGCAGGCGAGTTCAGAGATTGGGAGGTTCGGTCCCTCAAGGTCACCTTCGGACACCTTTCATTACAAACCGATGTTTGTGCACCGCAATTCATCCTCGGTCGAGACCTCTTTGGAAGAGTCGATGTCACAAGGCTCAGAGGATGCTGTCGATGAGAGCAACATGGGTAACTCGAAGTGGGATTTCAGCGGATCGGGAACAACGCAACAACGGAGGAAGCGTCGATATGACGGCGCCATCGTTTACTACACCGGCGCTCCATTCTGCACCGATCTTTCAGGAGACCCTGGCGATATGTCGCCAACAGCGCAAATGACGGCCGGCCGCGAGGTCGAAGGATCCGGATCTGGTGATGAAGTTGAACATGTGCTGCAGCGGACGTTGTCTGGATCGTCTCTTCCCATTAGGCCGCTCAGTGATGATCGGGCCCGCGTGGCCGAGGCGTTGGACTTTGACCCCGGAAACCTGCCTGATCTCGTGGCCGACGACGGTTCCTCGCCCAATGACGAGGATTTCGTCTTCCCATGGTGCGAGGATCCTGCCAAGGTTCGAATTCAGCCTATTGCCAAAGAAGTCATGGAACCCTCTGGTCTTGGTGGAGTACTTCCTGACGACCATTTTGTCATGCTCGTCACCACTCGCCGCGTCATCAGACCTATCTTGCAGCGGCAGTTGTCGCGCTCGACAACATCGGAAGACACGGCTGAATTCATCGCTGAACGCTTGGCAGCGATAAGAACGTCGTCGCCTCTGCCTCCTCGCAGCCACAGGCTGACTGTCGCGCCGTTACAAGTTGAATACGTCTCTGGGCAATTCCGACGGCTGAATCCAGCCCCACTCCCTCCTCCGGCAATATTCTATCCCCCGTTTAGTACCGATTCCAGCTGGGACGACGGCGACGATCTAGCTTCGGACGATGAAGAAGTGGAGGAAGTAGAGGAAGATTCTTACTCTGAGGGGCAGATCTCGCGCCGAGCAAATCCTCATTTCTCGGACAACAACACGTACATGCGGAAGGACGATTTGGCGTTTGATACTGAGACTGATGTGCGGATGGACAGCGACGACAATCGCATGTCAGACAGCGGCCACAACATGCGGTCGATGATGCCGCGGGCAGGAGCGGTGGATGGGGACGACAGCCCATTGGCAGCCGTCACCGGAAAAGAGGTGGACATGCTGCATACTGGCAGCTCGGTTGCAACCGCTGGTGGGGCAGAGAGTGGCTATAGTAGCTCGATGGAGGACGTCTCATCCTCGTGAGACCTGAGTGGGTATTTTTCCTATGTGAGAAGAAGACGCGGAGAGCACACGAGAGCAAAAGGAACGCATTGCGGCTGGTGTCAGGAAATTAGGTGCCGGTATTCTCGAATTTTTGGCTTTGGCGAGCAAGCGGGTTGTCTCGAGCGCGCGGTTCTTTGCTTTTGCCATTTTTGGGGGAGTTGCAATTGTCGCTTTTCGGGGACTCGATTCGCATGGATATCCAACGAGGGTGATTGCCGGGTGAGGGATCTGGATCCCATGAATGGAGCGGTCATGGGTGGTGGTGGGTGGAGGGAGGGGGTGAGTTGGGGACTTTTTTTTGGGCGTCTGGGTTAGTGTTGTTTGGATTTCAAACGTTGTGGCTTTGGTTTTTTTTCTCTGGCCTTTGTTATGGGGGTTTTTCTTCTTTCTCTTCTTTTTCTTTTTGTATTGGATATTTTTCTTGGCTTCCTTGTACACTAGATGACTCCGTGTGCAAAAAAAAGAACATACCTGTTTTTTTTTTTTTTGAATCCGTATCAACGGTTCGCAGCAGTAGCAGAAGGCCGGTGACATCAGTCGCAACGGGTGCACCCGTAAAATAAGGATTGGACTTGGTGGTAGGTCTTCTGATGGGGTATGTGGTGTATATAGGATTTCAAAGTGAATCGATCACTACCTCTAGTCCCGGTTCGTTGTCTCCACGATGGCCTCGCTGCCGGAACGTTTTGATGATCGAGCGGTAATCGTGGATCCTTAGGTCGGGCGTAAGACCCTGAGCGCATTATCAGCAAGCCCCTGACGGATTAATCCAACGCTGGGCGGGCTACATAGGTACAGTATCAGGGTCGTCATCACAGTCCAACGGTGGGTTGTTTGTTAGCCCGGATCTTTTGATAAAGCCATCGCCAGCAGTTCCATAGCACACAAAAGACATGTACAAATATTTCAATCCCGGAAAAGACACGTCAAAAGACGAGGACTTCACATGATCGTTTTGATTCCAAGCCTTCCCGATCCAGTGAAGCACATATGCTTGGATTCACCCGCCCAGAAACTCCCTTGACTCAAGGTCTCTCACTACCTAACAAAACTTTCCAGTGGTGAATTGTACTGTACGCGGGCAGGGGCCTGCCCCACCTTAATGAAATCGATTCGACCGGACTCCTGGCTGCAGGCGGGGGAGCGAGCTCAGCGAGGTGCGGGCGGGCAAGCCAGCCCTTGGGGTTCCATCCATGACCATATCGCACCTACCTCTACCTACCTACCTACGTAAACAACGAGCTCTGCGCGAGGCACGCAAGTGGAAGCTCCCCGCTTTGATCGGTCTTTTCCCCCTTACAACCCGACATGTAAGGTCCATACTCAAAATGGCAACCAAAGGAAAAGAAGTAGAAACTGCGGGTCGGTAAGTCAGTCCCAGTTGAGCTACCTACCTACCTACCTACCTTACCTTGCCCTACCTTGGCCAAGCATCAGAGCTTATGTTGGGCATGCCAGCTCTATGGTGACAGGACAAACGAACGTCTTGCCCTCCTGATCCCCCCAACTTCAACAGTCGGACATGACTCAAAGTATTCCTCATTGCTAGCATAGCCTCGCCTAGCCTAGCCTAGCCTACCTATAGAAGCACAAAATAAGCTGACCTGCTGCTCCCACGTTCCGCCAAACCTACAGTGATGCCACGCCCGCGAACCCCCGAGGTATCCCCCAAGCGCCCTTCGTCGACAAGGTCGAGGACTATGTCACGTCTCGCGCGGACGTCGAGCCCACCCTGAGGCGGTTCCAAGAGTTGATTGCCAAGTACCAGTTCATGGAGCAGAACCTCCAGCGACGAGTGGTGGGGTTGAAGGATAAGATGCCGGATATCCAGAAGACATTGGACACGGTGCGGTTCCTGCAGATGAGAAAGGTACGACACACACACGCACATGCACACACACACACACCTCCGTCTTCAGGGCACGCGAAAATACAGGCTATACCGCTAGCTATACGGCGGATACAGTACCAAATGCGCCAGGGAGGAAATTGAGAATCAAAGGCCAAGAACGAGCATGAACAACAAGGATTGATGAATGGATGGATGGACGACGATACGGTCGCACACAAACGAGACATGCTGACAAGAACACCTCTTTACTTGTCTGTTTTACAGGACGAATCAGACCCAATCGAAACCACATTCGAGCTCAACGAGACTCTCTACGCCCAGGCCAAGATCCCACCCACCGACGAGGTGTACATCTGGCTCGGCGCCAACGTCATGCTGTCGTATCCCATTGAGGAGGCCGAGCAGCTGCTTGACTCGAAGCTCAAGGCGGCGACGCAGAGCTTGCAGAACTGCGAGGAGGATCTGGATTTCTTGCGAGAGCAGATTACGGTACGTGTTGGGCGGAGAACGAGAATATGGTGGTTTTGTTACCAATCCTGGAACCTTTCGCTAACCTGAACGATGCGCCACAGACGATGGAAGTTGCGGTTGCGAGAGTGTACAACTGGGACGTTGTGCAGAAGAGGAAAGAGAAGGAGGAAGAGGAGAAGACAAAAGGAAAGAAGAGCGAGACGGCGTCGGACGGTTGAAGAGGAGATTAGGTCAATACAGAAAGCGAGGACATAATGCACCATCACGAAATGCCATGGCAACGAACGACGGTTGAAGAATGTCCGGAATAGCGAGGCAGGCCGAGGCTGCTGGCCGCGATCATGTGAGACGAGGTTCACGACGGCTTGGTAAGTTGGACATGATTTGAAAACAACAATTTAACGAACGACACCTCACAGATATTCTGCGTTGTATTACGCTCAGTAACATTTTGTTCACGAGATAAAAGAACAAGGGCCACGCAAGCGGTTTGTCGTGTTGAAGAGACTGGAGTGGGACTGGCGAGATGAGGTTCGCTCTGGCCTGGGTCAAGGCTACAACCGCGAGAGATTAAAGAGGATTTGAGTTTGGCGGCCTCCAACGACGACAGCCTCATGATCAAGGCACGATGATGACTTTTTATATTTCTCGCCCGGGTTCTTGGTTGTCATGGAAGTTACTGTCTATTACTTAGCTACACGAGAGATCGCTGCTCTGGCTCAGTGTTTAGATTGTCACGATACCTGCCGCAAACATACACCGAGATAGTCTCGCAACGTTATTAAAAGCCAATCCGAGGAGATCACGTGGCTGAGGGGGCGAGTTTGTCTGGTGAGCGGGATGCCGGTATTGTAGTCGCGGATCGATCGTCGCCATCGTTTATCAAGTGGTGTACCCAAGTCTTATCCAGTCGAGACAATCAGATGGGCGGGGGGCCAATGCGCATGTAGGTAGGGCGCTCGGGCGGCCGTTGACCTGTCTGTTTCGCTGTCAGTGTTTTGTCAAAAGTGAGCCACCCCCGCCCCCTGGAAACTGAAACCCCTATTTCGGGAGTGAGGAAGCACATCTGTGGTCTTGACCGCCATGACGACGGCATTCGTTTCGGAGACGGGGTCCCGAGTCTTTTGCCTCTGTCTCTGTCTGGTACGGCGGCAGGCGAACGGCAGACCAGGCCCGACCTAGGTAGGTGAATAGTGTACTGGATGCCCTGCGCCAACAGCAGAAAACAGCTTAGCGGATGGGGCCCCAACGTCGGGTCCCAAGCGGGCAGGCGGCCCCAGGGGCAGGCGGAATCTCAGGGGCCCCGGCCCTCTGCAACGGAACCCCAATTAAACCATCTCCATCACGGGCGGGCTCCGGCCTCCTTCCCCTTCCTGCCTGCCTGCCTTGACTCTGTAGCCGACTGTGTACCCTTTCCCCTTCGGACCAACCTTTTTTGCCACGACTGCGTTACCCATCTCCTATAACGCTACTCTACTTTCCAAGTTTGTACACATCATTGTCGTCTCTTCATCGTCTCCTGCCTCAGCTTCCTAATACCCAACCCCAACACCCCGCTTCAGCCAACCTACCTACCTACCTACCTCTACAACACCACAACAACCGCCAACATGGAGCTCGAACCCAAGTACGACGACTATGACTACCCTACCACCGCGCCCGACGCGCAGGAGGGCCACCCCGGCCATCTGACTCCCCAGCAGCAGGCCCAGGTCACCCAGCTTCGTCTGATGCTGGAGTCTGAGGGCTACACCAAGCGCCTCGACACCCTTACGCTGGTATGCAATATGATGCTCGATTCTAGTGGGAGAGATGGAGAAGAAAAAGAAGAAGGAGAAGTGGTGGGATAGACAGGTGCTGACACATTCCGCAAATAGCTGCGCTTCCTCCGCGCCCGCAAGTTCGATGTCAACCTCGCCAAGCAAATGTAAGCGCGAAATCTGCCCAGTATCGCTCGAGTTTGAACAACAAAGCGCTGACCATCAAACCCAAGGTTCGTCGAGTGCGAGAAGTGGAGGGCAGAGACCAAGCTTGACGAGACCGTCCCTGAGTGGGAGTACCCCGAGAAGGAGGAGGTTTCCAAGTACTACCCTCAATACTACCACAAGACTGATAAGGTACGGCTTCCAGTTCTCTCCGAAGTTTGCTTCTATGGGCTGCGACAATAGTGACCAGAAAAAGAAGATACACGAGGCTAACATGACGTTCCCCACTAGGATGGCCGCCCCGTCTACATCGAGCAGCTTGGCAAGATCGATCTGAATGCCATGTACAAGATCACAACAGCCGAGCGCATGCTTACCAACCTTGCTGTCGAGTACGAGCGTCTCGCCGACCCCCGCCTGCCCGCCTGCTCCCGCAAGGCCGGCGTCCTCCTCGAGACGTGCTGCACCATCATGGACCTGAAGGGCGTCGGTCTCACCAAGGCCCCCCAGGTCTTCGGCTACGTCAAGCAGGCCTCCACCCTCTCGCAGAACTACTACCCCGAGCGCCTCGGCAAGCTCTACCTCATCAACGCGCCCTGGGGCTTCAGCACCGTCTGGAACGTCATCAAGGCTTGGCTCGACCCCGTCACCGTCTCCAAGATCCACGTCCTCGGCAGCGGTTACAGCAAGGAGCTCCTCGGGCAGGTGCCCGCTGAGAACCTCCCCAAGGAGTTTGGCGGTACCTGCCAGTGCGCCGGTGGCTGCCACATGAGCGACATGGGTCCTTGGCGCGAGGAGCAGTGGGCTCGTCCCGCTAAGTGGGAGAAGAAGGCTGATGCCCCCGCCGCCGCCGCCCCCGCCGCCGCCGTCCCTGCCGCGACCGAGGCTGCCCCTGCTCCTGCCGCTGAGCCTGCCGTCGCTGCTACTGAGGCCGCCGCCCCTGCTCCCGCTGCCGCATAAGAGATGCAATGGGAAGGTTTGACGACGGCTTCCAGTCAGAAAGACGGCAGTTCGAAGGGCAAAGCATCACCGAGTCCCCCCAGAAAATGGCGTCATTTCTGCCTGTGAGGGGGAAGGCTGTTAACGCGGTTTGCTTACATGAAGTATCATGGGTCTATATACGCTATGAAAGAGTATTCAGTTGTAATGAAGTCATCATTCGGCCAAACTAACTTAGTGGCCGTAATGGGTAGGAGTTGGTTGTGTTTGCAGGGTATCTTCAAGTGCGAGATCGGAAACGTTAATCCGGTTTGAACTTAGCACTGGTGATTTTACATTAGCGTATGTAGAGTCCTCGCGTCTTTGTCGGAGGTGGTCTCTTTGGTATACACACGGATATACAATAGATTACTTGTTTCTGGCCGTTTATGATGTACGTGCCTGGTATTTGTGGGGTGAAGACATCAATAAATCTGGAGCAATTTCTAACAGTAATTACATGTTTGAAATTCCGCCCATACCCATGGCCATGCCAATACGCCCCTAACTCCAAAATCTAATCGCTTAAAGCCTCTCTACAAAAAGTAAACAATGCTCCCACAAGCAACAATTTCACCATGCCGGCTCGAACAGATCCAACACTTTCTTCCCGCAGCACCAACGAGTATCGCCAACCCAACCAACAACATGTCTACCTCCCCTCCCCAGGCGCCGCAACGACACCACTCCCCCCAACACCAGCAACAACATACCCGCCCGCAACCCTCGCCCTCTCCATCCTCGCCACCGTAGCCGGCATCTGACTCTTCAACCTTCTCAGCGCCTCAACCGCTTTTGCAAACCCATCCTCTATTTCTTCCTGCCTCTCCATTGTTGCAGCAGCAGCAGCAGCAACAGCAAACCCTCCTTTTTCGTTTCCTCCCTTTCCTGTTGTTACGTCCCCATTCCCATTCCCATTCCCATTCCCATTCCCATTCCCATTCCCATCTCCATTTCCATTTCCATTTCCATTTCCATTTCCATTTCCACCTTCAGCAGCAGCAGCACCAGCATCAACAAAAGGTAATAACCCCTCCAAAGCCTTTCGTCCAGCAACCACCCCCTCCTCCACCACTTTCTGTTTGGCCCTGTCCAACGCCTTTTGGTCTGCTTCCGTCTGCCGAGCCAAAGAGTCAACCAGCGCCGAAGCGGCGGAGGCAGGTACGCGGCGTTTGAGTAAGGCGATGGAACGCAGGAGATCTTCTTCTTCGCGGGCGAGGGTTTCGAGGCGGGAGCGTTTGCGGGGGTCGAAGGGTTCGTATTCTTCTTGGGGTTTTGTTGGTTTCTTTTTGTTTTTGGACTTGGTCTTTTGGATTTTTTTCGAAGACGATGGCTTGGCGGAGGAGGACTTTTTGTTGTTGTTGTTGTTGTTGTTGTTGTTGTTGTTGTTGGTGCCGTTGGTTGTTGTTCTTGTTGTGATGGTGGTGGTGGAAGAAGGTGAGGTGAGTGGGGATGAGGACAGAGATAATAAAAATTCCGAGGGGTCGGTTACGGGGAGGCCGTTGATGGAGATGTTGGGGGCTACGTAGGTGAAGGTTTTGGTTATGTACTGCGTTGTTTGGTGTTAGTTGGTGGGTTTTGCTATGTAGTAGAAGAGGATATATAGGAAGGGAAGAAACACGTACATCATCAACCAACTGCTCTATCCTCACGCGCAATTCATCTTCTTCCTCCTCGTCCTCCCCGTTTCTGTCGCCCGCGTCAACAGGCGGAAACGCGGCGTTGATGCTGTCCGCTGCGGCGCGGCGTACATTGTCGATTAGATAGGTAAAGTCTTCGGGCGATTGAAGCTCGATTCGACGGTGGACGGCGGATTCCATTTCCATCGCGGCGCAAATGAGCGAGCGGGCGGGCGGACGGGCGGTTGGTGATGTGTCGCGGATGATGGGAAATGATTTCTTTTGAGAGAGTGTGTCTATCTTCGGTCGACCATTCTCGTAGATTGTGATGCCCAATTGTAAATGCGTTGAGTAGATATGGTGGTGATGAATTTGTGAAGTGTCCAGTCCTTGATTTGTTTACTCTGGACACTAAGTTGACAGCGACAGTTCACAGTTCCATGCAACCCTCAGGCAGTTCAAGCTGTCCGCGCCCGCGTCCGCGCCCGTTTGGGCCCGCTTGGGCCCGCTTCCCCATTGCACCCCATCGGGCATCTTATCGATAAACCGTGTGGAGTCCATAGCATCGGCGGGCACTAACCCGAATTTGGAGGTCGGTCCCACTCTCTGGTACCAGCTGCTTAGTGGAGCGGGGTCCCTGATGCCGAAATGGTGGGGCTTGGCTTGTCCTGGGCAAAACTGGGGCTGGTGCTTAACTGTGTAAGAGCTGCAGGAGTGCCGGCATTCGCTGATCGCTTTTGGCCAACAAGGTGTCGCCGCTCGCCAGTTGCATGGACATATTTCACTGCTTCGAAACATCGATCCGTCAGACTGACTTTATGCACTGCACAGCACTTGGACAACTATGAGACTACCTACCTAGATTGTTGCCTTGCGCCTACTTCTTTGCAGTCCATGCGATAACCGCGCTTGTTCCTGCTTGTGTTTAATGTGAGAAAGACGGGATGTTCGTCTTGGACCCTGCGTATTAAGAGAACATTCAGTTCAGTTACCTAGAGGTACCTAACCTACAAATGTCTGCATGCTGATAGATCTTACCATCCGCGAATCATCGGCATGTCTACATGAATCTTGATCTGTTCCCAACATCCATTCGGCCGCGGTAACACAGCTAACCGGCCTCTCAAGGAATCCCAGCAAGAGAGTCTCATGGCCATGTGTAACAGAACAACACCGAAGGCATCCATGCAAGTGCTCAAGAGACTGCAGACATTTTTGTACACCCTACCGTGTTGCACACCACCGTCATACAATGCGTATTTTCTTTCTATCTCGTCCAAATGTTGTTTACCATTTGATACGTGGCTTGCCGAGGGCCTATCTACAAAGAAGAATGATACTTGAGGGGTGATACCCTATAAGAATAAGTCAAAGTATTGCCCCAGGACTCGGAAGAGGTCTGAAGGTCGTGCTTGACATAGATGAACCCAGTGATACGCCCGAAACCCAAATACCAAACTTGACAGAACCATGATGTGATTAGTTCCCCCCGCCGCCGCGCTTCCCAAATTGACCAAAAAAAGGAACTTGCACCATACCCTCCCTTACTCGGTAACACTGTACTGTGCTCGAAGTGTGTCCCGAACCCGACCGCGCAAGGAATCTGGGTCATCTGAAGTGTCCTAGGATCTTTCCTCGCCAGTGTAGACCACAACATGATCAAGCCGATAGTTCCAATGAACTCTCGAGGAGGCAAGAACCGCAAGGTAGGCGCCCAAACACCTAGAACCGAAACAAAGGAAGAAAACATGTCGTAACGCCGTGATCCGTGAAGAAGTGGAGCTGATATCTGTGAGAAGAGACAGGTCTAAGAGTGGCGCTTGTAGTTGCATGACTGAATACAATGTGTTTGATGGTGGTCGCTTGTGCGTGCCGTCGTGTGCCGTCGTGTGCTTTTTGCTTTTACTGCGGCAAGATCTTCTTAATCTCTTCGTCCGTTAGGATGATCTCATGGATCGGATCTCTCCGGTTCTCGAGGGGGATGTAATCGTAGTCGACATAGGATGGTAGAAAGATCTCGGGGTTCCATGCGAAACCTTGGCTTGAGGAGAGGTAGGAGATCTGATGTGTAAAAGGTTAGTTAAGGGTCTACTAGGGAAAAAGCAAGACATCATTTGGGTGGCCAAGAAAGGAAAGTATCTTACCAACTCCGGCGGCCCATCCTTATCTTCAGCGATGTTGATCGTGGTGCATTCCTGCTTGGAGATGGCCGAACCTAAAACCTAGTGGTTAGTGACCTTCACAATGCATATGCACGACTGCGCAAATCAATGCCGCCATTTATATGTTTTTCCTTGTTGCATGGCTTATCCGGGGAAAATGTATACTTACTCAAAAGGCTGGGACGGCGAGCGTGCAGCAGTGTCTTTTTCGTCATCGACGAGGCAGGTGAGGAAGAGGGGTGCGATGGTTCCGGCGAGGTGGAATATGACGACCCGGGGGACGAGCTCCCACCAGCATTATCTGACTGGCTCAGCTGGCGACGTTCAATACCCATGACGGATGGTGGCGGTGCGGGGATGGGGATTGAAGAGGACATGGCGGGCGGTTGACGGAGGAAGGTAAGTTGAAAAGAGTTGATGATTTAAGAGGTAGGTTTTAAGCAGTTGGAGTTGGGTGTTGTTGGCCGACAGTTACACAAAGCGAGCCTAACGAGTGGGAGCTGGCGGGGAGAAGTGACCTCAGGTAACGTATGGTAATTGGTAAGATTGTCTATGAATGGAATCCGTCGTTGCCAACCAGAGTGCTGAAGGCGCAGGTGCACCGGGATAGAGGAATCATCAAATTCAAGGACGTTGCGATTCGAGGACACTGTAGAACACGACGAGAATGACGGCGACGGGCGCTGATACAATTAGACAAGGTGAAGAAGGCCGAATGATGCGGCGGTTGAGTATCGGTGGATGGAGAGATCAGGTGAAATGAGGATGGTTTTTTCAGCATAACAAAGAAGGGAAAGCAGGAGGTAACGGCAGATCGGAGGAAGCGGAGGTGTACAGTGACTAATAAGGCGATCCGAAAGTGGTGACTCTTGAGTTAGGACGAGGATGGGGTTGTTGGGCGTTTCCTGGTCCGTCCCCCCGGCTCCCACGAATTCACCATTCATGGACGCACGGGATTACTCCGGATGCTTGAAGGGGTCTCTTCCTTGCCTGCGTAGGGGACCCGGGGATGGACGGGTAGATGAATTTCAGTTCAGCTGTATGTAAATCTGCACTTTCCTGCGCTTACAGTATACCGCTCTGCAATTCATGTTGTACTTTTACATAAAGTTCCTGAATCTTTGTCGTTATCGTAACTTCACACCGAGACACGCCGGATGACGGGAGCCCAGGCTCTGATCTCCTTCAGGGCTTGAGATGTTCAACCCCAGTTTCTCAGACAGTCACCGGCGACACACGCTTTACTGTATGTATAGGCAATAGAGTGTATCGAGTGAAACCAGCAATTTAACCTTTGGACTGCCGCAATTCAAACCCCAACTACCTACCCAACTCTCTCCCTTCTCACCATCATACGCCTCGCGATCCCTCATCAGCACCGCTTCATGGCCATGATGCGTTCAGACGGGCCCGAGCCAGGCAAGGATGTGTTAGCTAGCACACGGGATGCAGGGTGGTGTATGGTGACCACAATAGCATATCATCGCCGCATCATTCGATCCAAACAGTGGAGAAACTGGTATCGGCCGTCTTCGGAATGACAACTCGATCCCTTATCGCGGTAGTGTACGTTGAGCCACAGAGAAGTGATGTTGCGACGATGGGATCTGCCATATCCCACAGCCTCACGTACACCACGTCGGGCATTGCGATGGCATGAAAGACATATCAAACAATAAGAGACGATTATCGATAGTGTAGTGGTCAAGCCAAAGACAAGTTACGGGGGGAGGACGGCGGACGACAAGCCGACCTGGCCGTCAAGGTGACACTTCGTGACGCCTAGCAAGGGTACCCGTGTGGATGTGGGGTTGAGAAAGGCTGGAGTCGCTCAACTGCGATGGTGGCACCCAAGTGGAGGTCGACCTGCATGGAGGGGGGGAGCCACCGACAAGGCTCCCGCCGCTTCAGTTCACTGCAGTCCAATCTGCACTGTCCGGCAGTCACCCCTTGACACTGTTCAACAACCCCACTTGCAGCTGGAGCGTTCCTGGTAAAGTGCGATTTTTAGCTACAAAAAAGGGGCCATCTGTCATCAATCAGTATGGTATTTATACGAGCTATATTGTACAGAGCATGCACCGTAGCTGTGCTTAGTAGCCCACTATAACTGCCAGAAAGAGGTCATCCAGCCAATCACTGTGCTTATGGCAGCACCCGGCAACGCAGGCTCCAGATGAATGACGAGCCACAGCCAGCCCAGCTTGCTGTTACTAGCAACAGCGACCACTGCATCAGCGACTGCTAGCACCGACAACCTACTACTGACACGCGCCACAAGGCGAACCTCGACGACGACAACAGAACAACAAGGAATACCACCCGACCGATCCCCCAAACCCACGTCAATTACAATCGCGCATCTGAGCGCTCGCGACACAACACACGGAAACATATCGATCAAGCCATTTAATACCATCACAAGAAAACATCCGCCAAGATGGGCGACGTCCTTGTCGAGACCCCGGCCAGTGTGACCCAGCCTCAAAAGAAGTCCGCCCCTTCGGCGATCCCCAACATCGAGACCTTCGAGGGCGTGTCAACAGAAGGCGGTGATGACTACATTACCTTGAAGAAGCTTCAGAGGCAGCTGGAATACATCAAGCTGCAGGAGGAATACATCAAGGATGAGCAGAGGTATGGTTACAGAAGTTCCACGCGCTGAGAGCTTGATGAGGAGGGGCTGACAACATGGTATCTGGCAGGAGCTTGAAGCGTGAGCTTGTACGTGCCCAGGAGGAAATCAAGAGGATTCAGAGTGTTCCCCTGGTGATTGGACAGTTCATGGAAGCTATCGATCAAAAGTATGGCCGCCTCATGCACCCCCCGTCTTCAAAACTGGCCCAGACTAACCCTTCCTCTCAGCACGGGTATCGTTCAATCCAGTACTGGCTCAAACTACGTCGTCCGTATCCTTTCGACTCTCGATCGCGAGCTCCTCAAGCCCTCATCCTCCGTAGCGCTCCACCGTCACTCTAATGCCGTCGTCGATATTTTGCCGCCCGAGGCTGACTCCTCCATTGCTATGCTCGGTGCCGACGAGAAGCCCGACGTTACATATGCCGATGTTGGAGGGTTGGATATGCAGAAGCAGGAAATTCGGGAAGCCGTTGAGCTGCCCCTAACACACTTTGATCTTTACAAGCAGATCGGCATTGACCCTCCGCGCGGTGTCCTTCTCTATGGTCCTCCTGGTACCGGCAAGACAATGTTGGTCAAGGCGGTCGCAAACTCGACGACAGCGAACTTTATCCGCGTCGTCGGTTCCGAGTTCGTACAAAAGTATCTTGGTGAGGGTCCTCGCATGGTGCGCGACGTCTTCCGCATGGCTCGTGAGAACGCGCCCGCCATCATCTTCATCGATGAAATCGATGCCATTGCGACGAAGCGATTCGACGCGCAGACGGGTGCCGATCGTGAGGTGCAGAGAATTCTGCTCGAATTGCTCAACCAGATGGACGGTTTCGACCAGACCGCCAACGTCAAGGTTATTATGGCCACCAACCGTGCCGACACTCTCGATCCCGCCCTGCTGCGTCCCGGTCGTCTTGATCGCAAGATCGAGTTCCCCAATCTGCGCGATCGCCGCGAGCGCCGTCTTATCTTCACCACGATTGCTGGCAAGATGAGCTTGGCCCCTGAGGTCGACCTTGACAGCTTGATTGTCCGCAACGATCCTCTCAGCGGTGCCGTCATCGCTGCCATTATGCAGGAGGCCGGTCTGCGCGCAGTACGGAAGAACAGGTACAACATCATCCAGGCTGATTTGGAGGACGCCTACAGCAGCCAAGTGAAGGGTACGAGCGACGAGAACAAGTTTGATTTCTACAAGTAAACTATCGGCGTCATGGGCTAGCTGTGTTGGGGTCGAGGACCACGGAACATGTGGGAGATTGCATTTTGGGTGGGTTGGTGCTATGCTTCTTGCTGCCTTGGGAAAATATAGTTTGTGCCCCAGATCAGCAGGGACTATAGACGTTCATAGAAGCGAACCAATTTGTACACTAGCGAATAAATCTAGAGCGGTACCACCATATATATATGTGCGTACCTCTCTGGAGTTGCTCCAACTGAATTTGCAGTAGCACCCAATTGAAAAGTAGCAAGATGCCCTGGCTCCCAGCTGATACTATTTACATGTTCAGATCAACTTGCTCGGCGGAATTGAGTTCTCAGTGCGCTTTCCTTCTCTGCAGGTCGTGGTATGCCACCATTTATCTTGATACATACATAAATACATGTACGCCTGGATGGTAGTTCTCCGTTCCCGAAACGCCGTAGCTATAGTAAATCCCACTTAAGTGAAGGGAGGATATGTCGGACAAATGTATGTGCTTCAATATAGATTCTTGTCTTCTGAAAATGATAAGGTCGGCCTGGAGAACATTTCTTGTTTGGGGGGGGGGGGGATGATAAGAAAGAGTAAGGCACCGTATCTACAGTATGTCCTCCCTTATGGATGGCAAGAGAAGGTCGGTCATACTTATTCCAGCGAGTAAAATCCGACAACATCCTACATACATATTAGTAAGAGGACCTTGGTTACCTCAAATTTAGGTACCAGGGCGTCTACAACTAGTTCCTGGATATTGTTGCCGTCACTCAGCACTCATGAAAAAAGAGTGGGAAAAAAAAACAAGCTTATTGTTAAAACTTCAAAATAACCTCTATGCTATTCGGGGGGGTATATCCTCCATGTGACTACTTAGGACTACTACTTGTGACTACTTAGGACTACTACTTGTGACTACTTGTGATCACATACTTGGGATTGTACCCAAGGTATCATTGTAGTCGAACACACCACTCACTCAGTCCCCTCTCCGGCCGCTCCTTAGTCTCCTCCTTAGTCTCCTTACACAGTAGTCTCCTTGGTCTCCTTAGTCTCCTTGGTCTCCTTACACAGTAGTCTCCTTAGTCTCCTTAGTCAATCTCCTTACACGCTCGCTCACTTCCAGTTTGCGATACAGCTGCTGCTTCGATACAGGAGGGAAAAAGTAACACATGCTTGTGAGGTCCATGGGAAGGGAAAAGAAGAGAAAAGAAAGGATAAAAATGTGAGGTCGCGGTGGTGGTTGTGATCGATGGTGGTTGATGTGAAATGAGGTTTAGGGAATGAGATTGTGGTCGATGAATGAGGTTAAGGAACGAGGATGTGGATGCGTGGAAACGGCCAAGGTTTTATGAAGG